AAAGTACCTACCTATATCTTAAATACGTATAAGTCAAAGATTGACTGACTGACTGACTGACATAATGATCTATCATTCTATCGACGCACCGCCCAAACTGGACGGATCGGGCTGAAATTCGGCATGCAGGTAGAAGTTATGACGTAGACATCCGCTGAGGATTTTGATTAATTCTACCCCAAGTGAATAAAATAGGGGGTGGAAGTTTGTATAAATCTTCTTGGATTTGCGGCTAATTTAACTAAAATTAAATATGGAGACATTACGGTGTCCGCTTAAATAAAAAAAAATTTGGATAGGACCCGGGAAAGGACTTCTGAGAGTTTTGAACCGGGAAATCCCACGAGTAGGGGAACTATGTGTTTAGACTGCGGGACTCTATCTCTTAATAAAGCCACTGAATCGATTTGAGTGAAATACGGTACACCGATAGTTTGAAACCTAGGGAACCTGGGAACAACGGTATCTATGAAAGTTTTTATTCCCAGGAAGGGTAATTAGGTATGCATTAAAACCCCAGAACTCTTGGGACCAGGACCTGTGGGGTGGTTTATGTTTTGAAACCACGAAAATAATTTTACAATAAATATAACTTAGGTACTGAATCGATTCTAACGACATTTGTTACAGTCGTAGAATATACCTACCGCGAAAGCCAAATTTTGCCAAAAGTCTCTATTCTACGCGGATGAAGTCGCGGGCAACGGCTAGTAAGAGTATAAGATTCCACACAAATCTGTCATCTATCAAGGTAGGGACGCCAGGGACTGGTGAAGACTTTAAAAAGGTTTGTGTAAGAAGTTGTTGAATTTATCTCGAACAGACAGTCATGCCGGTGAGAGCCTACGCCAAAATCGACATCTAACCTCCTAAACTGAAAGTACAGTGAAGAATTAAACCTTCCCAATGGACGATGACCCTAAGAAAGCCCAGCCATAAATTTCATTACATTGCACAGTAATCGACGATTTTTATAGCCTCAAAGATTCGGACAGGCCGACATACCTCCCGCTGGCTCGGTTGTTAATAGTAACAACTTAAGTATAGACCTACCAACCCACTCACTTCGTATCACTTCATTTCAAAAGTAGAGAATTGACTACTAAGCAACACTCTCGGGACTACCCATGAAGAGTCAAACATATTGCTGATTTTCTAGTATCTAAATGTCTATGTTCGAACCCATGACCGAATCGTAAGCGTATCGTAATTTACTTACACACGTTTTACGAAAAGTTTTATAGCCTATTATTAAAAATAAATTCATTAAGCAGTTTTATTTTATGTCAAACCTTTCTACTTCACAAAGATGTTCAAAACTGCGTTATGGGGACGCCCGCGCGGACCTAAACAATAGCGCGATTGACAGTCGTGTCGACGCGCGGGCATTGCGCGGAGCATCCCAAAGAGTATAATAAGTATAGGGGCCTAACCTAGCTTACTTGCTATCAACTTTACATTTCTAGTCCTTATCGTTTTGCTACGTAATGTTAAATTCAATTTTCCATTGATACGACTGTACATTATTATGCACACAGTTAAAGTTGATCTAGCGACATTTAACAACCCGTATCCGGCGCATGGTTTCATTTCACGCGCGATCACGCGACGCGTAATCGTCGCGTACGTCCGCTTCACGCATTTGCAGCCCTGAGAGTGGTACTTATACGTATGACGCCGAATCTCCGTGGAATGCAAACAAAATTCTGCTCATGTACTGCCCCGAATGAATTTCAGTTCATCGGTAACAGTAAATTGTAAACTCCAGAAATAGCTACTTTGTTTATAACACTAAGTAATCAGAAGTTTTTGATATTCAACACGAGCACCGAGCACCGCAGACAGCGCTGTGACAAGCTTAATAAGTATTCATCTCCAGAGTTGTGAACCGTTGCGCGGTGCGAACCCACGGGGACATAAAAGTATCTCTTGAATAAACGTTTAACTTGCAGATTGGAGCTGTTATACCGCTAGATGCCGCGCTCTCCGCCCGCCGCCGCCGCTATGAATTCTTACTACGCTAATGTGCAGCGGAGGAGTTTTATTACGCTCCCAATAAAATATTAAGTAGCATAGGTTATAGATATGACATCGTAGCATCGCGTCCGGTGCCGCACCACATGATAAATTCTAGATATTAAAGCCGCTCCGAATAGTAAAAGTTTTATTTCCCACGAGGTGCGAGCCGACCTACGAGGAATGTTCATAGTGGGCACGTAATAGAATTTTTCCCTACGACAAATTAAGTTGAGTTGCTCGCGAGGATGATATTCTCACTTCTGTATAATATCAGTCTACGAATGTTCGCAATGTTCTTCATAGCATTAGTGTAAAGGTATTTACAGAAGATAGTAACTTACTTACTTATAGGTTCTTAGGTACTAGATACATAAGTTACTTACCACACAACAATACTCATTATTAAAAAATAAAATTGGACGATGTTTACCTACGCGCCTGCATCGTAGATATTGTCCGTGGTGTATAAATAATCTTGTTTTTTTAACTGCTCCGGAACTACCTTTTTTTAATGGAATATTTTTTGTGTTGCATAATTATTTTATCAAGGAAAACTGTAAGCTGTAAAACACCACGCTACGATTAAGAGGAGCCGAGCAGCGGGGCTACCTAGTCTTATATTATTATAAACCTGACAGCCAAGTCCAAGGTCCGCTCTGTTCCGAATTTGGAGTACATCAAACCCCTTCTTTAATTTTCTAACATTTTCACAAATGCGATAACAAAGAGTTGTTCACAAGTGCGCAATCAAAGAGTATTCAATTGAGCAATTTAAGCATTTTGGGTCAAAATAGGGATAATAAAGCATACGACACACTGTGGTCGCGACCATAACAGTATTCGCACCAACTCGCAGATGGTGCGGGCCGTGCGGGACATATCAACTGATCATTAACACCTACGCAGTAACGACCTCGTGTGCAAACTTTATTCTAATGTTTTGTATAATCTGTGTACGGTATGTTCAACATTTTTCACGTGCGAAGTTAGTGAAGAACCAATCTGCCTGCCCTCTCAATCCTCAATCCATAAATGCACCCGGCATATTTAGCATCAGGTGATCCGTCTGCTCGTTTCCCGACCGTATTCGTTGAAAAAAATGGTGTGATGTTGTGCTTTAGACAAGGGAGTAAGGGGACCCAATAAAAAAAAACAAAATGAAAATGAATAATTCTTATTCTTATACAAGAACACAATAAAAAACTACACCTCGTAATCTGTACAGAGGGGCTTAGGATGAGTTTATTTTACGTTTATTGACGTCGAAATGAGACTGCGTTAGGCGCTCTGATTGGCCCGCTACAATGAACCAACCAATAAAAAGGCTAAACGCGGTAACGTTGAAACGTAAAAGAAATTCGTACGAAGCCCTCAGGTCATCATAACCAGCAACAGTATTAGCCGGGTAACTCATATTTAGAGCCTCGTACGAGTACACTGCTAATATTTTAGACTACTCAGGTAAACTTAAGCATAATATACCTAAAAATATGTAATACTTACAACTTAGTATATCTAATAATACACAGATTATTAAGACACTGTAATCAGGTGATTTATCTAATTCAGAGAAATTATCGGTTAACAATTAATTAACATACATAATAGAAATATGCAGAATAGTATAAATAAATCACCCATTTCTCAAAAGATTACATAAATAGTATGGCGCGAACATAGAAAACCATTTTTGTCCAATCACAGTACCTATCAAATATGAAACATTCAATGGTCACTATCTAATTCCCTATTGGATGCATAACGAGACATTCACGCTAGTACCATCTGATGAGCAAAAATACATCAGGCCCCATTGCGTTACTGCGCATATACTTAAACTTCATGTTCATGGAAACTACTGAACTGATTTTAATGATACATATAGTCGTTTTGGAATTTCATGTGACATTTACGGTGACATCATGTGACAGTGTCACATCCATTTTACACTGTTTTTTTAATTTGTAGAAAACAAAAAACAAACATTAGTAATAATTAACTCGAATTGATAAATAAATATGTATAAAAATTCAAAATATAATTTCGCTTTATATTTTACCGTAAAAAGTACATAACATCACGCCTTTTATCTCCGAAGGGGTAGGTAGAGGTGCACATTACGCCACTGTACAATGTAACACCCACTTTTCACTATTTATGTTATGAGTCCCATGTAATAGGGGGTGAGCCTATTGCCATATACCGGGCACAATTCCAGACTCCGTGCTACTACTGAGATTTTTTTTAAAAACCCAGTAATACTTTGCCCGACCCGGGAATCGAACCCGAGACCCCTTGCCCGGCAGTCGCACTTGCGACCACCCGGCCAATGAGGCAGTCCGTAAAAAGTATAACTCTTAAAATTGTAAAACATTACCACAGACGTTGGTGCATGTTTTGGACCGAACTTTGATTAGAGACTGACACAATAATTTCATAAAAATCGATTCGTAATTTCTAATTTATTTTAATCAGTCACATAACTTTAGAATAATATTAAATTACGAGTTTATCGACCAAGTAATATTACCGGACAATCATTTTAAAAAATCTACAACTACAGTTTTAAACATGTTTTTATTTTAATTATAATCTTAACCTATACAGCTATACATATTGGCCACGGGCACAGCATCGGCTCGCCTACAGACTTAGTCAGCGACAGACGCGGCGTGCGCTCAGAAATATTATATATTTTAATCGATCTGTATTAAAGTAATTATTTGTCTAAAACGAGTCGTTCATTATCAATATATAAACACATATAAAGCTGAATTATTTAATCATTTATGTCATGGAAATTTCAATTCAAATACCAAATACCTATCAAATCGCAAAACAACTATACTTGCACGCAATATAACAATATCTAAGAACATATAGGGTGTCTGGCGCTTGTGGACGTTTGATTTTCACCATTTTAAACTGGGCAGTTAAAATGTAAACATTTTACTTTATTTTACTTTTTGAACTACATTTCTTTATTTATTGAACTACATTTCGAAAAATCGACTATCACCTCTTCTTCTTTTGAAGTCGGTTAATTAAAATACTAAAACTTTCTCCTAGGTGTAACAGATCTTTTTTTGAAACTCCCATCAAAAGTCGGTTCAGTCAATCGCGGGATAATCGCGCATAAATATACATAGAATAAATTATAATATTACCACATTTACTACACTTTTTATTGAAAGTATGAGTACTAAGTTTCATTAAAATTGGTTTAGTAGTTTCCATGTTTATAGTTATATCAAACCTCGTACCACGTATAAAATGTAACATAGTGTAAGTGGCTAATTGGCCACAGTTTACCTCAGAGCTAGACTTGTGTTGCGCTGGCGTATTCATGTGTGCGATAGTGTGCCGTGTTGAACATCGAATGTAAGGTAACTTCCGAAAGTTCTACACCTTTTCACTTATAACATGATTGGTGTACACAGCGTAGAGTGTACACAGTGTAGTGTAGACAGTGTAGTGTACACAGTGTAGTGTAGACAGTGTAGCGTAGACAGGGTGGGGTCCTAGCGCGGCACGTTGGTGGTGCGCTGCACGGAGGACATGCCGTCCACGAAGCGGGTGCGGAACAACACGTTGGCGTTGTTGAACATGCCGTCCTTCAGCGACACGATGATGAACTGCAACACGACCACGCCAGTCAGCAGCTGCAGCAGCAGTAGCGGGCTGCAGCAGTAGTAGCGGGCAGTCGTCCCCCCCCTACCTGCGAGTGGCGGAAGTGCGTGCGCAGCATGAGGCCGATGTTCTGCGTGTGCGAGAGGTCGAGCGCGGCGTCCACCTCGTCCAGCACGTACAGCGGCGCCGGCTGCCAGCGCAGCATGCCCAGCACCAGCGACAGCGCCACCAGCGAGCGCTGCCCGCCCGACAGCTCGCCCAGCGACTCCTTCCACGCGCCGTTGAAGCCCACCTTCACCTGGCGGCAGTCCCACAGTCACGGTCTGGTCCGGCGCAGCGCGCGGGCCCGCCGGACACTCACCTCGAGTCCGTCCAGCACGCTCTGGCCGTCGGGCGGCGTGAGCTTGGCCTCGGCCCCGGGCAGCAGAGTCGAGAAGATGGAGCCGAAGTCCTTGTTGACCTGTTCGCACGCCGCCACCAGCGTCTTCCTCTTCTTCTCGTCCAGCTCTGCCATCACCGCCACTAACTTCGCGCGATCTGCCTCCACTATCTGCTTCTTGTGCAGCAATTCTTGGTACTGTCGAAGGGACATGGTTTCAATATTTATGTTCAACGTAACTACACGGACACAATCATGACGCCAGTCCGTCGCGGCGCGCCTGTACTGCTGCAGGCGGGAGGTATGGCTGGCTAGTGTAGAGTGTACCTGTTCCTCCTCCTTGCCCAGCAAGGTATGGGCGCGCGCGTTGAGTCCCCGCGCCAGTCCGTCGCGGCGCGCCTGTACTGCTGCAGGCGGGAGGTATGGCTGGCTAGTGTAGAGTGTACCTGTTCCTCCTCCTTGCCCAGCAAGGTATGGGCGCGCGCGTTGAGTCCCCGCGCCAGTCCGTCGCGGCGCGCCTGTACTGCTGCAGGCGGGAGGTATGGCTGGCTAGTGTAGAGTGTACCTGTTCCTCCTCCTTGCCCAGCAAGGTATGGGCGCGCGCGTTGAGTCCCCGCGCCAGTCCGTCGCGGCGCGCCTGTACTGCTGCAGGCGGGAGGTATGGCTGGCTAGTGTAGAGTGTACCTGTTCCTCCTCCTTGCCCAGCAAGGTATGGGCGCGCGCGTTGAGTCCCCGCGCCAGTCCGTCGCGGCGCGCCTGTACTGCTGCAGGCGGGAGGTATGGCTGGCTAGTGTAGAGTGTACCTGTTCCTCCTCCTTGCCCAGCAAGGTATGGGCGCGCGCGTTGAGTCCCCGCGCCAGTCCGTCGCGGCGCGCCTGTACTGCTGCAGGCGGGAGGTATGGCTGGCTAGTGTAGAGTGTACCTGTTCCTCCTCCTTGCCCAGCAAGGTATGGGCGCGCGCGTTGAGTCCCCGCGCCAGTCCGTCGCGGCGCGCCTGTACTGCTGCAGGCGGGAGGTATGGCTGGCTAGTGTAGAGTGTACCTGTTCCTCCTCCTTGCCCAGCAAGGTATGGGCGCGCGCGTTGAGTCCCCGCGCCAGTCCGTCGCGGCGCGCCTGTACTGCTGTAGCCGGGAGGTATGGCTGGCTAGTGTAGAGTGTACCTGTTCCTCCTCCTTGCCCAGCAAGGTATGGGCGCGCGCGTTGAGTCCCCGCGCCAGTCCGTCGCGGCGCGCCTGTAGCTGCTGCAGGCGGGCGGCGGCGGCGCTGGCCTGGCGCGCCTGGAAGTCGAAGATACCGCCCGGCGCACCGAAGTACGATCGCTCCGAGTTGATCCACGGGTTCGCTTTTTCCAAGTTGGTAATCTGCAAGGTCATCATTGATCAGTACCCGAGTACATTAATGTAGGTATGTACGTACCACTAATAACAACACCGATGACCGTGTTGCCACGCGCACCTGTACCAGTATTTGCCCATATGACCGTGTTGCCATGCGCGCCTGTACCAGTATTTGCTCATATGACCGTGTTGCCACGCGCGCCTGTACCAGTATTTGTCCATATGACCGTGTTGCCACGCGCGCCTGTATCACCAATCGCCCGCGGGTACCATTGTACGCCGCGCGCCTGTACCAGTATTTGCCCATATAACCGTGTTGCCACGCGCGCCTGTACTAGTTTTTGCCCATATGACCGTGTTGCCACGCGCGCCTGTACCAGTGTTTGCCCATATGACCGTGTTGCCACGCGCGCCTGTACCAGTATTTGCCCATATGACCGTGTTGCCACGCGCGCCTGTACCAGTATTTGCCCATATGACCGTGTTGCCACGCGCGCCTGTACCAGTATTTGCCCATATGACCGTGTTGCCACGCGCGCCTGTACCAGTATTTGCCCATATGACCGTGTTGCCACGCGCGCCTGTATCAGCATTCGCCCGCGGGTACCGTTGTACGCCGCGCGCTTGTACCAGTAATTGCCGCGCGACCACGTCTTACCCCGCGCGCCTGTACCAGCCATTGCCTGCGTGACCCCGTGTTACCCCGTGTAACCCAGACGCCGCGCACTAGATATCAGTGTGCGCAAACAGTACTGTAGGTGCGTACATGTTTAGTTGTTGCAGTTTCTAAATAAATATTATCCAAAGACTAGATATCAGGGACAGCTTTAAACAATTATTGACCGAATTTGGGAAATTTATTTGCTATCTTAGCATTATAACGTGCTAAGAAGTCGTATAGGTATTAATTAAATGTCACCCAACAAGTAAAACTAATTTAGCATTAAAGCTGTAACAGACAGTTTTTACCTTAGCACGCAGTTCAGCAGCTTCTGTCTGTAGCTCATTCAGTCTGTATTCCAACTCTTGTATCTTGAGCTCGAGCTCGCCGTTATTTTTACGCAATTTTTCTTTTTTCTGCAATAATCGCGAGATCTCCGTGTTGCGACTCGCTATCTCCGCCTTCTGGCTCTTTATACGCGATTGCATGTCTTTGACAGCACTCTGTTTGAAAACATACAATAACACGAAGTGAGTAATGCCGAAGCAGGCGTGGCGTGGAAGCAGTGGCGCTACGTACCGCGGCGGCGCCATGGTCGGCGGCGGCCCGCTCGGCGTCCAGCCGCAGTCGCTCGGCGGCCGCGCTGTTCTCCGCCAGTTGTTGCTTACTGCTGGCCACGGCTTTCTCCAGCTCTGAAACTTCAAGTTTCAACGTCTCCAGCTCCTGTTCGTGTTGTTTCCAAGAGTTGCTGTGGAATTCTGCATCTTTTTTAGCTGCATTCAAAGCTTCCTCAGCTTTTTTGAACTCCCTGTGAACATACAGAGCGCGTGAGTGGCAGCGCGCGCCGGGCGGGGCGGGGCGGTGGGGCGGGGCGGCGGGGAGCGCACCTGTCGCGGTGGCCCTGCAGGTCGGCCAGCTTCAGCTGCAGCTGCGCGGCGCGCGCGTCGGCCTGGGCGCGCGCCTGCTGGGCCCGCGCCGCGGCCTCGCCCAGCTCCGACACGCGCGCGCGCAGGCTCTGGATCTCCTCGTGCGTCTGCGCGTGCGACGTGGTAGCCAGGCGGGCCTTGATCACGTCCAACTCGTGAGACATCACGTCGAACCTATCAAACACGATCGATCAGTCGAACTATTGCTACGCTAGGTATATTAATATTCTTAGCGACGACAGAGTACACACTTTTGCTGGGCGCTGGTATGTTTTTCGCCGGCCTGCTGCAACGACTTCAGTTCGTCGTTGCACTTCGACAGCTGCTCCCTAATGGCCTTGTGCTCCTCCTCAAACTGCTTGAGTTCCTGCAGCTGCATGAGCACGGAGCCTCCCTGCAAGCAGAGCGTGTGTCAGAGCCCTTGCGCGTGCAAGTGCTGGGCCGCGCCGACGTACCTTGAGGCGCGCGCCGCCGGAGAGCGTGCCGGCCGGGTCCACGACGTCGCCGTCCAGCGTGACGGCGCGGCGGCGCACGGCGGGGTGGAAGGTGACGCGGCGCGCCGTGTCCAGGTCGCGGCACACCAGCGTGGCGCCCCACACCCACGCCATGGCGGGCCGCAGCGCGCCGGGGAACTGCACCAGGTCCAGCGCCAGCTGCACGCTGTCCGGCCCGCCGCCCTGCAAGCACTCTGTACAGTGCCGTACACCGCCGTACAGTGTACACGTGTACGCTGCGGGCGAGGACGTACGATCTGCTGCGCCAGCTCGACGGTGGCGCGGTCGATGACGTGTCCGTTGATCTTGTTGAGCGGGACGATGGTGGTCCTGTGTTCCAGCTGTCCGCGCTGCAGCAGTAGCTTGCTCGTGACCTCGGTGTCCACCACCACGTTGAACAGCTGCACAGGGACGCTACGTTAACTATTGTTCTACCATCGTACAACTATTGCATAAAACTGACAAACTGTCATGGAATGGAGAACACAATTTAGATTAGATACACCGAAAATTAAAGATAAATAGACCGACTATTTTCAAATGGATTTATTCTTCACTTACGCGTCCGCCCGCTGCAGTTTCCAGAGCAGTACAGTATATCGGGTCACGCACGTCTATTAACCTACAAATCGTGCCTGAAACCATAAATATATTTTTATACACAATTGATATTAGTAAATAAACTTTGGCCTATGTTAGTAGCACTTTACTATAGTTTTGTGAATCCACATACCGTAGACCCTCTTGTCATCGAACCCCGGTTCCGGCTTGGAGTAACGCAGCTTGCAGCGCGCCAGGCGCGGAGCGCGCGCGTCCACCTGGTCCCGCGCCGCGCGCTCCCGCCGCGCCAGGCCACGCACTGTCTCGGCCAGCTCGGCCTCGCGCCGCGCCGCGCCCGCCAGACGCGACAACTCCGCCTGCACACACATACTACAGCCTCGCACACACACACACAGCGCCCCGCGCCCCCGCTCCCGCCGCGCCAGGCCACGCACTGTCTCGGCCAGCTCGGCCTCGCGCCGCGCCGCGCCCGCCAGACGCGACAACTCCGCCTGCACACACATACTACAGCCTCGCACACACACACACAGCGCCCCGCGCCCCCGCTCCCGCCGCGCCAGGCCACGCACTGTCTCGGCCAGCTCGGCCTCGCGCCGCGCCGCGCCCGCCAGACGCGACAACTCCGCCTGCACACACATACTACAGCCTCGCACACACACACACAGCGCCCCGCGCCCCCGCTCCCGCCGCGCCAGGCCACGCACTGTCTCGGCCAGCTCGGCCTCGCGCCCGCCGCGCCCGCCAGACGCGACAACTCCGCCTGCACACACATACTACAGCCTCGCACACACACACACAGCGCCCCGCGCCCCCGCTCCCGCCGCGCCAGGCCACGCACTGTCTCGGCCAGCTCGGCCTCGCGCCGCGCCGCGCCCGCCAGACGCGACAACTCCGCCTGCACACACATACTACAGCCTCGCACACACACACACAGCGCCCCGCGCCCCCGCTCCCGCCGCGCCAGGCCACGCACTGTCTCGGCCAGCTCGGCCTCGCGCCGCGCCGCGCCCGCCAGACGCGACAACTCCGCCTGCACACACATACTACAGCCTCGCACACACACACACAGCGCCCCGCGCCCCCGCTCCCGCCGCGCCAGGCCACGCACTGTTTCGGCCAGCTCGGCCTCGCGCCGCGCCGCGCCCGCCAGACGCGACAACTCCGCCTGCACACACATACTACAGCCTCGCACACACACACACAGCGCCCCGCGCCCCCGCTCCCGCCGCGCCAGGCCACGCACTGTCTCGGCCAGCTCGGCCTCGCGCCGCGCCGCGCCCGCCAGACGCGACAACTCCGCCTGCACACACATACTACAGCCTCGCACACACACACACAGCGCCCCGCGCCCCCGCTCCCGCCGCGCCAGGCCACGCACTGTCTCGGCCAGCTCGGCCTCGCGCCGCGCCGCGCCCGCCAGACGCGACAACTCCGCCTGCACACACATACTACAGCCTCGCACACACACACACAGCGCCCCGCGCCCCCGCTCCCGCCGCGCCAGGCCACGCACTGTCTCGGCCAGCTCGGCCTCGCGCCGCGCCGCGCCCGCCAGACGCGACAACTCCGCCTGCACACACATACTACAGCCTCGCACACACACACACAGCGCCCCGCGCCCCCGCTCCCGCCGCGCCAGGCCACGCACTGTCTCGGCCAGCTCGGCCTCGCGCCGCGCCGCGCCCGCCAGACGCGACAACTCCGCCTGCACACACATACTACAGCCTCGCACACACACACACAGCGCCCCGCGCCCCCGCTCCCGCCGCGCCAGGCCACGCACTGTCTCGGCCAGCTCGGCCTCGCGCCGCGCCGCGCCCGCCAGACGCGACAACTCCGCCTGCACACACATACTACAGCCTCGCACACACACACACAGCGCCCCGCGCCCCCGCTCCCGCCGCGCCAGGCCACGCACTGTCTCGGCCAGCTCGGCCTCGCGCCGCGCCGCGCCCGCCAGACGCGACAACTCCGCCTGCACACACATACTACAGCCTCGCACACACACACACAGCGCCCCGCGCCCCCGCTCCCGCCGCGCCAGGCCACGCACTGTCTCGGCCAGCTCGGCCTCGCGCCGCGCCGCGCCCGCCAGACGCGACAACTCCGCCTGCACACACATACTACAGCCTCGCACACACACACAGCGCCCCGCGCCCCCGCTCCCGCCGCGCCAGGCCACGCACTGTCTCGGCCAGCTCGGCCTCGCGCCGCGCCGCGCCCGCCAGACGCGACAACTCCGCCTGCACACACATACTACAGCCTCGCACACACACACACAGCGCCCCGCGCCCCCGCTCCCGCCGCGCCAGGCCACGCACTGTCTCGGCCAGCTCGGCCTCGCGCCGCGCCGCGCCCGCCAGACGCGACAACTCCGCCTGCACACACATACTACAGCCTCGCACACACACACACAGCGCCCCGCGCCCCCGCTCCCGCCGCGCCAGGCCACGCACTGTCTCGGCCAGCTCGGCCTCGCGCCGCGCCGCGCCCGCCAGACGCGACAACTCCGCCTGCACACACATACTACAGCCTCGCACACACACACAGCGCCCCGCGCCCCCGCTCCCGCCGCGCCAGGCCACGCACTGTCTCGGCCAGCTCGGCCTCGCGCCGCGCCGCGCCCGCCAGACGCGACAACTCCGCCTGCACACACATACTACAGCCTCGCACACACACACACAGCGCCCCGCGCCCCCGCTCCCGCCGCGCCAGGCCACGCACTGTTTCGGCCAGCTCGGCCTCGCGCCGCGCCGCGCCCGCCAGACGCGACAACTCCGCCTGCACACACATACTACAGCCTCGCACACACACACACAGCGCCCCGCGCCCCCGCTCCCGCCGCGCCAGGCCCACGCACTGTCTCGGCCAGCTCGGCCTCGCGCCGCGCCGCGCCCGCCAGACGCGACAACTCCGCCTGCACACACATACTACAGCCTCGCACACACACACACAGCGCCCCGCGCCCCCGCTCCCGCCGCGCCAGGCCACGCACTGTCTCGGCCAGCTCGGCCTCGCGCCGCGCCGCGCCCGCCAGACGCGACAACTCCGCCTGCACACACATACTACAGCCTCGCACACACACACACAGCGCCCCGCGCCCCCGCTCCCGCCGCGCCAGGCCACGCACTGTCTCGGCCAGCTCGGCCTCGCGCCGCGCCGCGCCCGCCAGACGCGACAACTCCGCCTGCACACACATACTACAGCCTCGCACACACACACACAGCGCCCCGCGCCCCCGCTCCCGCCGCGCCAGGCCACGCACTGTCTCGGCCAGCTCGGCCTCGCGCCGCGCCGCGCCCGCCAGACGCGACAACTCCGCCTGCACACACATACTACAGCCTCGCACACACACACACAGCGCCCCGCGCCCCCGCTCCCGCCGCGCCAGGCCACGCACTGTCTCGGCCAGCTCGGCCTCGCGCCGCGCCGCGCCCGCCAGACGCGACAACTCCGCCTGCACACACATACTACAGCCTCGCACACACACACACAGCGCCCCGCGCCCCGCTCCCGCCGCGCCAGGCCACGCACTGTCTCGGCCAGCTCGGCCTCGCTCGCGCGCGCCGCGCCCGCCAGACGCGACAACTCCGCCTGCACACACATACTACAGCCTCGCACACACACACACAGCGCCCCGCGCCCCCGCTCCCGCCGCGCCAGGCCACGCACTGTCTCGGCCAGCTCGGCCTCGCGCCGCGCCGCGCCCGCCAGACGCGACAACTCCGCCTGCACACACATATACTACAGCCTCGCACACACACACACAGCGCCCCGCGCCCCCGCTCCCGCCGCGCCAGGCCACGCACTGTCTCGGCCAGCTCGGCCTCGCGCCGCGCCGCGCCCGCCAGACGCGACAACTCCGCCTGCACACACATACTACAGCCTCGCACACACACACACAGCGCCCCGCGCCCCCGCTCCCGCCGCGCCAGGCCACGCACTGTCTCGGCCAGCTCGGCCTCGCGCTACACACACATACATACATACACACGCCTACCTGTAGCTCGGCGAGCTGCGCCTCATGGCGTCCGATGTTCTCCATGTCACGCTGGTACTGAGCGCTGCTACTGGCGAACTCTTTTTCCAGTGCCTTCAGTCGATTTTCTGCATGTTTTTTCTCCATTGCACTCTGCGATATCCGAGTCGCCGCTTCTGACGCCTCTTGTTTAGCAGCTGAGGCAAATATAATAGACCGTAAGCCAGGCCATTTTCCTCAAGTCATAAACCCTCGACTGAATATGATATAACCACAGTCATACAGTCGTCTGACAAAGGCGTGTAGTCAGTACTTACCCATCAGTTGGTCTTGTAATGATTCTGAGGCCCCTTCGAGTCCACTACTGACTTCCAAAAATTTTTGCTGGGCATCTGCGAGAACGGCAGTACTGTTCTGATGTTTCTCCCGCAGACTCTCGAACGTACTCTCGACCTGTCGGCAAAACGAACAGTCGCATACACGCAGCTGGCGCCAGCCTCGGCCCCAGCCCCGGCCTCGGCCCCTACCTGGTCCAGCGCGCGGCGCTTGTTGGCGGCGGCCGCCTCGTCGTCGGCCAGCGCGCGGGCCAGCAGGCGCGCGCGCGCGGCGTGCGACTGCAGCGCGTCGTGCGCGGCGCGCGCCCCGGCCGCGGCGCGCCCCTCGGCCGCGCCCGCCGCGCCCAGCTCCGCCTCCAGCGCCCGCAGCGCGGCGCCGCTCTCCTGCAACACGGCAACGTCGTCCGTGTATACCTCACCCCACGACCTCACCACTATCATATACATATATACAAGCAAGGTACCTGCCCCCCATCCCTTTCAACCCTTTAAAGTCAGGCAAAGAACTCGGTCGGTCGAGAGCCGTTATTTGATTGCAAAACAGTAGGACTATGAAACAACAGGCAACCTGCGACGAATAAGCTTCGTACCGTTGGGTTCTGTACAGTTCCACAAAAACAAACAAGAACATACCTCATCCACCTTCTTATTAAGTTCAGATATCTGTTCTTCAAATTCCTTGATACTTGTTTCGTTTTGTTGTATCTGGTGTCTTTTACTTTTTATTTCATCTTCCACTTGTGTGAGTTTGGTTTCAGCCTCCTTAGTTCGCTCTTCTGCAGTTACGTAACTGCAAATATATATTTTTAATTAAGTATGATTATAACATTGAGGTCTATTCCCTGCGAGGACTACCCGGAGCACCCGGTGCGCCGCGGGCTGGCCAGTGTGTGTGGCTGGGGCCGAGTACTGAGCGACGGGGCGGCGCGCGAGGGAACGAGCGAACGAGCCGCCTACCGGCGTACGAGCCTGCGGACGGCGCGCGAGGGAACGAGCGAACGAGCCGCCTACCGGCGTACGAGCCTGCGGACGGCGCGCGAGGGAACGAGCGAACGAGCCGCCTACCGGCGTACGAGCCTGCGGACGGCGCGCGAGGGAACGAGCGAACGAGCCGCCTACCGGCGTACGAGCCTGCGGACGGCGCGCGAGGGAACGAGCGAACGAGCCGCCTACCGGCGTACGAGCCTGCGGACGGCGCGCGAGGGAACGAGCGAACGAGCCGCCTACCGGCGTACGAGCCTGCGGACGGCGCGCGAGGGAACGAGCGAACGAGCCGCCTACCGGCGTACGAGCCTGCGGACGGCGCGCGAGGGAACGAGCGAACGAGCCGCCTACCGGCGTACGAGCCTGCGGACGGCGCGCGAGGGAACGAGCGAACGAGCCGCCTACCGGCGTACGAGCCTGCGGACGGCGCGCGAGGGAACGAGCGAACGAGCCGCCTACCGGCGTACGAGCCTGCGGACGGCGCGCGAGGGAACGAGCGAACGAGCCGCCTACCGGCGTACGAGCCTGCGGACGGCGCGCGAGGGAACGAGCGAACGAGCCGCCTACCGGCGTACGAGCCTGCGGACGGCGCGCGAGGGAACGAGCGAACGAGCCGCCTACCGGCGTACGAGCCTGCGGACGGCGCGCATGGGTAGCTCGCCGCCGAGCGTAGCGCGCGCTTCAAGGAGCCATCAACTACCACGGATGGGGCCCAATAGGGCTGATGTCGAAACGGAGCCGCAGCGGACTTAACGTGTTACCGGGGCTCCGGCTCGAAGTGCAGGGGTACGAACGGGGTGGTTTTTAGTAAATAAAAGTCTGACACTCTCTCTCGTCTTACTCGGGAGGAAGAAGTCATTGTCCGAATTTTCCCCTCAAAAAAAAAAGGGGGGGATACACCTTCGTCCGGCAGTGGACATCTTCTGGCTGTTGATGATAATGATGAAGTATGATTGTACCCACACTTTCCATAATTTCAAATATGTACATAAAATGGTGGTAATCTTACTTGTAAGCTATGTGCAGTCTATTGAGATTTTCGAGTTCTCTTACAACTTTTTGATATTCTTGAAACTGAGCTCTTTCATCTTGTAACTTTTGTAGTTTCGGTGCTATAGACTCTCTTATGATCTGAAACATGAATGTTGACATTTATTTATTTTAGAAAATGTACACATACAACACCACAGCTTACGCCATTAAGTTATACTGTTAATGTTATATAAATGATATTATTTAGGTACTTAAAAACAAACTAATTAGGTAATCAAATACAAGAAATAAAAATTAATACAATTCAGAAACAAAATTAACAAAAAACAAAAAAAAACTATACATTTTTAAATAATAAATTTGGTAAGTTTTAAGTAATTATTGTAACTTGACACAAACATTAACATTATAATCAGCTACGTATCATCCATCCTCTCACAAAATCTTAAACATTCACGACACACATCTATCCATCTCATTGCAAATAAATCACACTCTGGTGCTGACATCAGGAGAGAATTGAGCATGGTGAGTACTCGGACCAGGGGAGAATTTGCATGCGCCACTGTACGTGCTTCTGGTACAGCCAATAAGGGATGTTGGCGAGGTCGAAGTTGGTGTGTGAGCAGCCTCGGGACTGATCACTGCACCGCCTGACCTACAATCTCTGGACAGTCAGATTCACCTCGCAGCGTCTTACAACTCATAATCATTAAGGAGTAATTACACCTCACCTCAAGAGAGTTAAACCCTAACAGAAACTTAGTCGGGTACAGAAAAGGATAATAGCCAAACCATTTTCTGTACAAAAACCTCAAAAACGCTTTTTGCACCTTTTCAAGCATCAGAGCATAAGTAACCTCATGCGGACTCCATATCAGAGATGCAGATTCTAGCTTGCTTCTAACCAGGGTCATGTACACCAATTTGATAGCTGTTAATATGTGACATGTGTTAGTTTCAGCATCAGACAAATGTCAAGCAATTTCAAAAGGATGGTAAGTACCTCATTAAGTTCCCTAAGTTTGGCATCCTTCCTCTCAATGGTCTTCTCTGCGGCTTGCTTTTTAGTCTCGTACATTCGTGTACCAGCTGCCTCCTCTACCATAGACAGGATCTGCAAACATTAACAATTAAATTGGGCATTATTTTTAAAACAAAGACCAAACAACACCACAAAGACCATGACCGACTAATTTACGGCTACCATTCGCCAGAGGTCATAAGTGAGACTGTCGCCTTCTTGTACTGTGCTGCCACAGCCAGTCGGATACTTTTATGGGATGAAACAAGCAGACGGACCACTTCATGTAAGCAATCAATGCTGCCTGCCTGATGTTCAATGTATATTATATATGAGATTGCTCTTTGTATACTTAGTAACTATTGTGATGCATACTATATTAATTAAAAATCATAGTTTACTCACGTAAAATACTGAGAAAACTAGTTTCATGAAAACTTATTTATGAGCAGAGTGCACAGTCGCTGCATCTTGTCATTGTCATTTTCAATTAATTTGAAATTACTCTTTAACATATTTCTCATGAACTTAAAAAAACATACAACTTAATGAAACTTTTTAGATTAGAGAACTGACCTCAGGAGGTTTCATGTTTAACACTTTCGTGATCCTGCCCTGCATGATGAGGAAGTGAGGGTTGTTCACATTGAGCTGCACTGAGCAGAACAAGTCTGTCACTCGCTTGTTCTGAACATTTAGGCCATTCACTAAGTATTTGTTCTTGCCTCCCATTACAATCTGAATAATAAATACACATCTTAGGATTTTTTTATTATTTTTTTCTTCATTTCACAACAATTTATTATTAATTTAATATTTCACAGAACAAAAGCATACCATGGACATAAATTACAATTACAATAACACATACCTTAACAAATACCTTACAACAGTTAAATACAATTACATATCATCACGCCTTTTATCCTCGAAGGGGTAGGCAGAGGTGCACATTATGCCACTGTACAATGTAACACCCACTTTTCACTATTTATGTTATGAGTCCCATGTAATAGGGGGTGAGCCTATTGCCATATACCGGGCACAATTCCAGACTCCGTGATACTACTAAGATTTTTTTTAAAACCCAGTAATATTTTGCCCGACCCGGGAATCGAACCCGAGACCCCTTGCCCGGCAGTCGCACTTGAGACCACTCGGCCAACGAGGCAGACAATTACAATAATAATTAAGAAAAATAAAATCAGTTGTGACTTAGTTAAAACAGACATGCATACTATGGTATCCATATAATATGGTTTACATATACACATATCATACATTGTGATTGTGAGTATGAAGTAAGTACACAATATGATGACTGGAGTACCTGTCTAGTAACGGTGAACTCGTCATTATTTTCCAAACCAATGGGAGACTGGTCCTTATTCCTATTGTCAAATGTGATGCTCACAGTAGCCTTAGTGATGCCTGCTTGGCCATGTTTGTATATCAATTCTTGCAAACTGCTCGCACGCACCTTAAACAGTACCAAAATGTCATAGTTGTTCTTATAATGGTTAATATTACCACCAGTGCTATCATTTTATACACCAAAAAAGTCAGTACTACAGTGAAGAGACCTGGGACGACAATCAATTCAAATGGAACATTATTTTGTCACTTATATTGTAGCACTCTTCAAGTGAAGGGTCAGTGAGTATACTGAAGTCTGATCAAATAAGTAGTAGGTACATTAGATAGCTCATCTCATCTGATCCGAGATGTAGTTGAATTTTAAAAAATCCAATACAGTAGTACCTACCTATTTTACAATTCCCAGAGTTCAAACCTAAAGGCATCTTTTTCACCAGTTACATATGCAACCAACTGACTAATGAAGCTATTACGCTCTTATAAGTATTACATTCTATACTACTATTACTAATGAAGCTGAGGACTTTGTTTATTTGATAAAGCAAATCTTTGAAACTCTGGTTCGAATCTGGTAAAATCTGGATCTAATTGAAAAAATACTTTTGTGTTGGGTAGCCAATTTATTGAGGAAGGCAGTGGAAAGTGTCGAGCAGTGAGGGAAGTTGCGCGGGAGTAACTGGTACACAATAAACAATTAAAATTAGTAGGTTTTGGCGGGAAAATAACTAACCTATTATATTCATAACAAGTACTTGAACAAGGATCACTTACGTTCGCTAAATTTGTTATTCCTAGGACAAAACATATCGCATCCAGTATATTTGACTTTCCTGTGCCGTTCAACCCAGTGATAGCGTTGAATTCAGGATCAAAACCATTAACTTCTACACGATTTCCGTACGACTTAAAACCATCTAACACTATAGATTTGATATGCATCTTGATATATGTAGATCAGTTCAGCAAAGGACTAATGGATGATCAATCAGTTGATCAGTTCTATTAATTTATAACCAACTTCAGAACCCGAAACCGGGAATCGGTAACCGTTGAAAATTCCAATTTTGTTGACATTCGTTGAATTTCGTTCGTTGTCTTACGTCAGTCATTTTTGACTTGACTTTGACTTTAGCTTCTTTGTACGGAACGGAGCGACGCACACCGTTTCATTACCCTCTGCTATGCTGCTTTTGAGTCTAATTATGTATACCTATAATCTTTTTTTTCTTTATAAAACGATATCACTATCACCAACCATTCTTAGCTAATTACAACAGTAAAAATTGTTTATTAAAAATAATAATTAATAAGAAAATTCTTGCTTTGAATTTATTTCCTATGGTTTGCCTTCAATTAGTATTGACGTATATCGAAACGTTTTATTGATCGGTCTTTCAGTTTGACATTATGATTATTTGAATTGAAATCATCTTTGCTATTCGTTTCAGTTATTTTGCGCTTTTTTTTATTTCGAAATTTTATTAAAGATATAATGGATTATAGTACTACAGGTGCAATGAGGAGTCCATTTTCACCTCGAGTGAGGCAGTCCATCACGGGACGAAGGCCAATTTCGCTTTCATCAGCGAAAAAGAACCAAAGGTTTAAACATAACCTATTATTTTTAATGATATTAAAAATTATGTATATAAAAGCATTACATGTAATATGTTTCTCACAGTAAATCAATGCAGTCTCCGGGTGAGCCAACTGGTGATGTAGTGTATAAGACTCCAGTTACCACCATAGAAACATACGGAATGCCCCTCCCAGTGATGGTCACAGAAGCCTTGACGTTTGGTAAGTACCTACCTGTTTAAAGCAAGATTCTCAATTAATAATTATCTGAAGAAAGATGTAATGTAGTTGGTGTATTGATAATCTTTACATATGTGATGGGAAGAAGTTAGGTGATAATCAAATGATTGTATATGCATTTTGTAGCTAGTGGTGAAGTCAGTGTCCGCCTGTCTGCGTGTGGCTGGTGCTGGGTGGTGTCGGGGCGGCGCGTCATCGCGTGGCCGCGCGCCGCGTCCTCCACCAGCGCCGCCCCCACCAGCACGGTGGCTCGGGAACTGTCCTTGCCACAAACTGATCTGGCACATAAAGCGGATTTGGTTGTGCTCTTTTACACTGCAGGAGCTCAGGTTAGATGATATGGGCAAACAGTTCACTGTGACTCTGGTCTACTAATAATTTTTAGCCAGTTACCACCAATGACCAATTAATTAGTTAACTTGCTATATCACTTATGTAAAAAAAAGTCTTATAGCCTAATAATTTAACTTCATTATTTAAAGATACTTAAAATTGAATATTTAATATTTGAGAAATTAATCTATCCTATTGAGAAAAGTTCTCTATTCTCTTTAAAAAGAATTTGATTAGTTATCATCGTTACAATTAATAATTATTGCATCGCTTGTATCTTTACAGATGCCATCTTGCATTGGAGTGTCTCCTGAGGGTACAGTCCGTTACTGGCCCTCAGTGGGCCAAGAGGGAGTGTATGTAGATGTATCATGTGAACTGGCCGGCCAGGAGTGTGAGAAATTGGGAGACTACACACCCGAGGGAATAGTGCTGGCCACTACCACATGTACTGTAGTATTACTCAATCCCACTGAAGTTGGTAAGTAAAAATAATTATATATTTTAGGAAAGGACAATTCCCAGAAACATATAGTGCACCCAAAATCGATTAAAATAATTGATATAAATGTAGGTAGAGCCTACATAGTATTAGCCAGACTCGCTAATTGTTTTCAATAAAACCATCACCAAGTAATAAAAAGATGTGTCCAGTTTATCATGGCCTCATTTTGTATGATCTTTCCACAAACTTAACAGTCAGTTTATACTGGCTTTCTTGAACAAAATCATATTGTGGTATGACAATCTTGTAATTCTTGTAAATGTAATTCCTTGTCTGGTTACTTAATTAATTGCAATAACTTAGAAACATGGAACCCAAGAATTATGCACATGCCCATGGTTTTTTGGTCATTCTTTTTTTCATGGTTATGCCTTCAATATAGCTTGATACACCTTGGGATCATTGCGGAAGCACACCTAAGGAGGTCGAGAACTGGATGACGATGTGTCTGGGCATTTTTAATCATTAATGCAATTATTTTGGAGATTTTTTGTCATTAACCTGATGTTATGAAAGTACATCACAATATTTTATACAGGGTTATTAGTAAAACACCAACATCCTCTCAAGACAATGTTACTAACATCATAATCAACAACTTTTCTTCTATGATTTTTTACAAAATATAATTAAATCTTGATGATTTTGTTGTCCTATGTAACATATTTCAACTCTGTATTGTGCCATACCAACATACATACATACACTTGCCGTACACCGTCCTAGTAATGTAATAATACTTTTGGGTTAATGACTCGCTTCGCTACGATTCCCGCCTTTTTAAGCAAAATCCAAAGGATACCTAAAATCTGACATTAGGTATAGAAATAACCACAGAACATATAAAGAAGGCTAGAAAGGAAATAGTCTCTGATTTGCATCAGAACACGCGTCGCCGTTTATCCCCCACTCTTTAACTTTACTACAAGCAAGAGTCCAATACCTACGCGGAAAATGCACACAAATAAACAACGCATACTAGGTTAAAAGATTTGCTGTTGGTCGTTACACTAACACAATCACTTCGTTTGACATACACGCGTAAAAAAACCCATGTATGGTAGGGGGAGCGAAAGGTCGATTATTTATTTATTTATTTATTTATTTATTTATTTATAATTCATGGAAGACTTACAGCTTATAAAAATGGATAAAAATAACAATAGGCGTAGGTAACAATGAGCCAATAACAAGTCCTCACGTTTATGATCTGGAATAAATTAATTAATATGGTGTGAGTACTATACAATATTAAAAAATACATACATTCTGCATAAATGAAAAAAAAAAGAATAATACTGAAACAGACCGTACAGACAATATAAATAACAATATAATAAATAGATCAAGAGAAACGATAAAAAAAAACTAAATATCTAGTGCTGCTTAAAAAATTTGAGGCTTAAGCACCTCTTTGCCGAGTTCACACTAGTTGTAAACGGATCGAAGTCATATTCCTTACAAACATTGTTAAAGTGTCTGCTTGCACGCACAATGTAACTGTTCTGCCTGTAGTTAGATGAGGATATATTGTGATATAGAGAGTGTATATTGATATCTATAAAAGTAATGGCTTCTAGATTCTTTATTTACATGTATTGCGGATACTGTGGACTTGTATAAGGCATATTGTGTACATGTATTTACGCTAATATAAATAACTATACATAGAAAAATACATAACTAATTTTTAAAACCAATTATATTATTAACATTACAATAATTTGCCATAGAATAAATTGTTGATTTGTAGTAATAAAAAAAGTATAAAAAACCGAAAAGGTAGTTATAAGAAACCGAAAGAAAATCAAAATTATATTTCGATATTCTTTTGTTTCAACTTTAAGTTTTATAAAAATAAAAGGAGTCCGGGATGTTATGGGGTCAAAATAATACATTTTTACTTAATTTAAAGTATATAAAAATAGCGTAATTTCTCCCTAAGGAATGAAAAATAAAGAAATATTGATAATTATCATAACGTAACCATATCATGATGTATTTAATTAGTGGTGAAAACTTTGTTATTGTCTCTGTTGGATATCATCATGACATTCTTAACATGACAACCGATAATCCTCGTTCGTATTTCTTTAATAGTTAATGTAAATAGGAATTATTATATAGTTTCGGTTACCATAATTTACAATAATTTAAATTTATCGACAATGTTTACAAATTGACACTTCTCTATACCGATTCGAGGAAATGAAGTTTTTATTTGGTACTCGGGACTCTCGTTGTGAACGTAATACATTGCGCGATCGTTTGTGTAGTGCAAAATGGTACGCATCTATTCCAAGCAATGTAATTACTATTCTTCTACTTGCGATAATGTCGTTTTTTTTTTACAAACGTCATAATATTAGTGTTTGATGTTGATGTTGTTGATTTGATTTAAACCAAAATTTAAAAACGAAAAATACTTGACAAACCTAACGGAACCAAGTTGTTAAAACACCCAGCGCCATCTATCGCTAAGTACCGTAACTACTTCATATGTACCAATTAGTAATTCGTTGACTTATAAAACAGCAAATAAATGAGTCGAAAAGTGCACTGAATACAAACAAACAAATATATTTATTTCCATTTTGTTCACATATACTTAATCTAAGCTTATTATTTAACTATTCTAGGTAGGTAACAATACAATGCCTGTATAGAATTAAATCTGTACCACAGGCTTTGTGGTCGCGTGCATTATACATTAGGATAATATAACTAAGCCTTAACAATATTATTTTTTACAGTCACCAATATTACAAAACTAACACATGTATACAATTATACATACATAGGTTAGGAAACACTAACTTTATACTTGCATTTATCAAAATAATTATTATCTATTTATACCTACTTATATATTATTTATTTAATGACAATGAACAAATCCTCGCTTTTATCATAACTTAATGATAGTAGATACTGAGAAATGCTGTTTTGCTCTGGTGTAATTTAGATCGTAAACTAAGGTTTCTTTATTAATTTTATTGTACAGATATGGCCCTAAAAATGCAAAAAATCTATGTGTAAATACGTACTTTGATTCATAGCTAGCAGTACAGACAATATCTTTCCGTCTCTTGGTGTTAGTGAGGTTAGCGTCATATGTAAGTGTAGCATGCTGTTTTAGTACAGTGAATAGTATGAATAATTGTCGCACTGTCAGCACTTTACTAGACTCATACAGTAAGCCTGTAGGGTAGCGGTACGGTCTGTGCGTGGCGACTTTCAAGATGGCTCTTTGGGCTCGTTCGATTGGAAGTATCAATGTTTTTCTACTTCCGCCCCAAGAAGTATTGCAGTATTGGATTATCGATTGACACAGGGCTTTATAAATTTGAATAATTAACTTGTGATCACCAATAAACCGCAATTTTTTAAAAACAAATATATCAGTTTCCGAACTCTAGATGTTAAAGCAGCGATATGTTGTACTGAATAAGTGTAGGTAGCGCTATACATTAAAGCGTGAGATTTCCAATTAGTGGGTAATTCGTTGAAGTGATTTAAATGACACACAGCGCCATCTATACCAATATTTTTGTTTTCCCTCGCGAATATCAAAATTTTCCGGGATAAAAAGTACCCTATTATTTAATCCAGACTTCTAACTTTACGTCTGCAAAATTTCAAAGCAATCGGTTTAGTATTTACGGCGTGAAAACGGAACAAACAAACTCACTTTCCGATTTATAGTATTAGTAAGGATTATGCAAAGACACAATTGACGCATTATACCAAGAAAAAATGTAACATGGTAAAATGTTGTACGCAGATGGACGCGCAACAGTGACGTGTCGTACTCTACGGCCGCCCAGTGGCTGGCTCGGTGGCATCGGGCGCCGCGTGTCCCTGCTGTTCTTCGGATCGATGCCTGCACATGCAGATACGGTGAGATACTTATCTAAGCGTCCTTTGGGGTGTAACGTGTCAGGTCGCGTCGCTGGTATGTTACATAATGATCGCGTGACTATTACAGAAGTTGGTGGGAGTGGTGGTGCTGCCGGGCGAGCCGGGCGGCGAGCCGAGCATCGCGCTAGTGTCGCGGGGGCCCGCGCTGCAACTGTGGCGGGGCTCCGAGCTACACGAGCACTCGCTGCGGCGCGCGCTGGGGGACGCGCACACACGGACACACCTCCCGCCGCACGGTACACACACACACACACACACACACACACACAGCTACACGAGCACTCGCTGCGGCGCGCGCTGGGGGACGCGCACACACGGACACACCTCCCGCCGCACGGTACACACACACACACACACACACACACACACAGCTACACGAGCACTCGCTGCGGCGCGCGCTGGGGGACGCGCACACACGGACACACCTCCCGCCGCACGGTACACACACACACACACACACACAGCTACACGAGCACTCGCTGCGGCGCGCGCTGGGGGACGCGCACACACGGACACACCTCCCGCCGCACAGTACACACACACACACACACACACACAGCTACACGAGCACTCGCTGCGGCGCGCGCTGGGGGACGCGCACACACGGACACACCTCCCCCGCACGGTACACACACACACACACACACACACACACAGCTACACGAGCACTCGCTGCGGCGCGCGCTGGGGGACGCGCACACACGGACACACCTCCCGCCGCACGGTACACACACACACACACCACACACACAGCTACACGAGCACTCGCTGCGGCGCGCGCTGGGGGACGCGCACACACGGACACACCTCCCGCCGCACGGTACACACACACACACACACACACACAGCTACACGAGCACTCGCTGCGGCGCGCGCTGGGGGACGCGCACACACGGACACACCTCCCGCCGCACGGTACACACACACACACACACACAGCTACACGAGCACTCGCTGCGGCGCGCGCTGGGGGACGCGCACACACGGACACACCTCCCGCCGCACGGTACACACACACACACACACACACACACAGCTACACGAGCACTCGCTGCGGCGCGCGCTGGGGGACGCGCACACACGGACACACCTCCCGCCGCACGGTACACACACACACACACACACAGCTACACGAGCACTCGCTGCGGCGCGCGCTGGGGGACGCGCACACACGGACACACCTCCCGCCGCACGGTACACACACACACACACACACACACAGCTACACGAGCACTCGCTGCGGCGCGCGCTGGGGGACGCGCACACACGGACACACCTCCCGCCGCACGGTACACACCACACACACACACACACACACAGCTACACGAGCACTCGCTGCGGCGCGCGCTGGGGGACGCGCACACACGGACACACCTCCCGCCGCACGGTACACACACACACACACACACACACACAGCTACACGAGCACTCGCTGCGGCGCGCGCTGGGGGACGCGCACACACGGACACACCTCCCGCCGCACGGTACACACACACACACACACACACACACAGCTACACGAGCACTCGCTGCGGCGCGCGCTGGGGGACGCGCACACACGGACACACCTCCCGCCGCACGGTACACACACACACACACACACAGCTACACGAGCACTCGCTGCGGCGCGCGCTGGGGGACGCGCACACACGGACACACCTCCCGCCGCACGGTACACACACACACACACACACACACAGCTACACGAGCACTCGCTGCGGCGCGCGCTGGGGGACGCGCACACACGGACACACCTCCCGCCGCACGGTACACACACACACACACACACACACACACACAGCTACACGAGCACTCGCTGCGGCGCGCGCTGGGGGACGCGCACACACGGACACACCTCCCGCCGCACGGTACACACACACACACACACACACAGCTACACGAGCACTCGCTGCGGCGCGCGCTGGGGGACGCGCACACACGGACACACCTCCCGCCGCACGGTACACACACACACACACACACACAGCTACACGAGCACTCGCTGCGGCGCGCGCTGGGGGACGCGCACACACGGACACACCTCCCGCCGCACGGCACACACACACACACACACACACAGCTACACGAGCACTCGCTGCGGCGCGCGCTGGGGGACGCGCACACACGGACACACCTCCCGCCGCACGGTACACACACACACACACACACACACAGCTACACGAGCACTCGCTGCGGCGCGCGCTGGGGGACGCGCACACACGGACACACCCCCCCCCGCACGGTACACACACACACACACACACACACACACACACACAGCTACACGAGCACTCGCTGCGGCGCGCGCTGGGGGACGCGCACACACGGACACACCTCCCGCCGCACGGTACACACACACACACACACAGCTACACGAGCACTCGCTGCGGCGCGCGCTGGGGGACGCGCACACACGGACACACCTCCCGCCGCACGGTACACACACACACACACACACACACACACACACACACACAGCTACACGAGCACTCGCTGCGGCGTGCGCTGGGGGACGCGCACACACGGACACACCTCCCGCCGCACGGTACACACACACACACACACAGCTACACGAGCACTCGCTGCGGCGCGCGCTGGGGGACGCGCACACACGGACACACCTCCCGCCGCACGGTACACACACACACACACACACACACACACACAGCTACACGAGCACTCGCTGCGGCGCGCGCTGGGGGACGCGCACACACGGACACACCTCCCGCCGCACGGTACACACACACACACACACACAGCTACACGAGCACTCGCTGCGGCGCGCGCTGGGGGACGCGCACACACGGACACACCTCCCGCCGCACGGTACACACACACACACACACACACACAGCTACACGAGCACTCGCTGCGGCGCGCGCTGGGGGACGCGCACACACGGACACACCTCCCGCCGCACGGTACACACACACACACACACACACAGCTACACGAGCACTCGCTGCGGCGCGCGCTGGGGGACGCGCACACACGGACACACCTCCCGCCGCACGGTACACACACACACACACACACACAGCTACACGAGCACTCGCTGCGGCGCGCGCTGGGGGACGCGCACACACGGACACACCTCCCGCCGCACGGTACACACACACACACACACACACACACACACAGCTACACGAGCACTCGCTGCGGCGCGCGCTGGGGGACGCGCACACACGGACACACCTCCCGCCGCACGGTACACACACACACACACACACACAGCTACACGAGCACTCGCTGCGGCGCGCGCTGGGGGACGCGCACACACGGACACACCTCCCGCCGCACGGTACACACACACACACACACACACACACAGCTACACGAGCACTCGCTGCGGCGCGCGCTGGGGGACGCGCACACACGGACACACCTCCCGCCGCACGGTACACACACACACACACACACACAGCTACACGAGCACTCGCTGCGGCGCGCGCTGGGGGACGCGCACACACGGACACACCTCCCGCCGCACGGTACACACACACACACACACACACAGCTACACGAGCACTCGCTGCGGCGCGCGCTGGGGGACGCGCACACACGGACACACCTCCCGCCGCACGGTACACACACACACACACACACACAGCTACACGAGCACTCGCTGCGGCGCGCGCTGGGGGACGCGCACACACGGACACACCTCCCGCCGCACGGCACACACACACACACACACACAGCTACACGAGCACTCGCTGCGGCGCGCGCTGGGGGACGCGCACACACGGACACACCTCCCGCCGCACGGTACACACACACACACACACACACAGCTACACGAGCACTCGCTGCGGCGCGCGCTGGGGGACGCGCACACACGGACACACCTCCCGCCGCACGGTACACACACACACACACACACACACACACACACAGCTACACGAGCACTCGCTGCGGCGCGCGCTGGGGGACGCGCACACACGGACACACCTCCCGCCGCACGGTACACACACACACACACACAGCTACACGAGCACTCGCTGCGGCGCGCGCTGGGGGACGCGCACACACGGACACACTCCCGCCGCACGGTACACACACACACACACACACACACACACAGCTACACGAGCACTCGCTGCGGCGTGCGCTGGGGGACGCGCACACACGGACACACCTCCCGCCGCACGGTACACACACACACACACACAGCTACACGAGCACTCGCTGCGGCGCGCGCTGGGGGACGCGCACACACGGACACACCTCCCGCCGCACGGTACACACACACACACACACACACACACACACACACAGCTACACGAGCACTCGCTGCGGCGTGCGCTGGGGGACGCGCACACACGGACACACCTCCCGCCGCACGGTACACACACACACACACACACACACACACAGCTACACGAGCACTCGCTGCGGCGCGCGCTGGGGGACGCGCACACACGGACACACCTCCCGCCGCACGGTACACACACACACACACACACAGCTACACGAGCACTCGCTGCGGCGCGCGCTGGGGGACGCGCACACACGGACACACTCCCGCCGCACGGTACACACACACACACACACACACAGCTACACGAGCACTCGCTGCGGCGCGCGCTGGGGGACGCGCACACACGGACACACCTCCCGCCGCACGGTACACACACACACACACACACACAGCTACACGAGCACTCGCTGCGGCGCGCGCTGGGGGACGCGCACACACGGACACACCTCCCGCCGCACGGTACACACACACACACACACACAGCTACACGAGCACTCGCTGCGGCGCGCGCTGGGGGACGCGCACACACGGACACACCTCCCGCCGCACGGTACACACACACACACACACACACACACACAGCTACACGAGCACTCGCTGCGGCGCGCGCTGGGGGACGCGCACACACGGACACACCTCCCGCCGCACGGTACACACACACACACACACACACAGCTACACGAGCACTCGCTGCGGCGCGCGCTGGGGGACGCGCACACACGGACACACTCCCGCCGCACGGTACACACACACACACACACACACACACAGCTACACGAGCACTCGCTGCGGCGCGCGCTGGGGGACGCGCACACACGGACACACCTCCCGCCGCACGGTACACACACACACACACACACACACACACACACAGCTACACGAGCACTCGCTGCGGCGCGCGCTGGGGGACGCGCACACACGGACACACCTCCCGCCGCACGGTACACACACACACACACACCAGCTACACGAGCACTCGCTGCGGCGCGCGCTGGGGGACGCGCACACACGGACACACCTCCCGCCGCACGGTACACACACACACACACACACACAGCTACACGAGCACTCGCTGCGGCGCGCGCTGGGGGACGCGCACACACGGACACACCTCCCGCCGCACGGTACACACACACACACACACAGCTACACGAGCACTCGCTGCGGCGCGCGCTGGGGGACGCGCACACACGGACACACCTCCCGCCGCACGGTACACACACACACACAGCTACACGAGCACTCGCTGCGGCGCGCGCTGGGGGACGCGCACACACGGACACACCTCCCGCCGCACGGTACACACACACACACACACACAGCTACACGAGCACTCGCTGCGGCGCGCGCTGGGGGACGCGCACACACGGACACACCTCCCGCACAGTACACACACACACACACACACACACAGCTACACGAGCACTCGCTGCGGCGCGCGCTGGGGGACGCGCACACACGGACACACCTCCCGCCGCACGGTACACACACACACACACACACACACACACACAGCTACACGAGCACTCGCTGCGGCGCGCGCTGGGGACGCGCACACACGGACACACCTCCCGCCGCACGGTACACACACACACACAGCTACACGAGCACTCGCTGCGGCGCGCGCTGGGGGACGCGCACACACGGACACACCTCCCGCCGCACGGTACACACACACACACACACACACACACACACAGCTACACGAGCACTCGCTGCGGCGCGCGCTGGGGGACGCGCACACACGGACACCTCCCGCCGCACGGTACACACACACACACACACACAGCTACACGAGCACTCGCTGCGGCGCGCGCTGGGGGACGCGCACACACGGACACACCTCCCGCCGCACGGTACACACACACACACACACACACAGCTACACGAGCACTCGCTGCGGCGCGCGCTGGGGGACGCGCACACACGGACACACCTCCCGCCGCACGGTACACACACACACACACACAGCTACACGAGCACTCGCTGCGGCGCGCGCTGGGGGACGCGCACACACGGACACACCTCCCGCCGCACGGTACACACACACACACACACACACACACAGCTACACGAGCACTCGCTGCGGCGCGCGCTGGGGGACGCGCACACACGGACACACCTCCCGCCGCACGGTACACACACACACAGCTACACGAGCACTCGCTGCGGCGCGCGCTGGGGGACGCGCACACACGGACACACCTCCCGCCGCACGGTACACACACACACACACAGCTACACGAGCACTCGCTGCGGCGCGCGCTGGGGGACGCGCACACACGGACACACCTCCGCCGCACGGTACACACACACACACACACACACACACAGCTACACGAGCACTCGCTGCGGCGCGCGCTGGGGGACGCGCACACACGGACACACCTCCCGCCGCACGGTACACACACACACACACACACACAGCTACACGAGCACTCGCTGCGGCGCGCGCTGGGGGACGCGCACACACGGACACACCTCCCGCCGCACGGTACACACACACACACACACACAGCTACACGAGCACTCGCTGCGGCGCGCGCTGGGGGACGCGCACACACGGACACACCTCCCGCCGCACGGTACACACACACACACACACACACAGCTACACGAGCACTCGCTGCGGCGCGCGCTGGGGGACGCGCACACACGGACACACCTCCCGCCGCACGGTACACACACACACACAGCTACACGAGCACTCGCACACTTATAATGTCTCGTGTTTACATTTCTTCAGTTGGTGAATGGTGTGTTACAGGTGACCCAAACAGTCTCGAGATCATGGCCCTGGATGTTAGAGCGAGTGGAAACAACGGTCTGCTTCTACTCATCGCCATTGTCAATGTTGCTCGCTCACCAGAAATGAGATATGGCATTGGTAATATATTTTTTTTTTATATTGAGGTATGATTTATTCGACATAATTATGTTTTTGTTTGTATCCAAGTAAATCGTTATGTCGTATGAGCTGGGTGTTCGGTCCCGCAGCGCACGTGTGCGTGCAGGACGCCGGCGCGCCCCGCGTGTCGTGGCTGGTGCTGGCGCGCGGCGTGGCGCCCGGGGCCCCGCTGGCGCCCGCGGCCCCGCTGGCGCCCGCGGCGGCGCCCGAGGAGGTGCGGGCCCCCGACGAGGCGCCCCGCTTCCTGCCCCTGCCGCAGCGCGCCCTGCTCTACACCTCCAAGTACATCGCGCTCGTCTCCAGTCAGTATCTACTTCTACTTTCCACGCACTTGCTTCACTACATAATATTAAGCCAAATCTTTTATAATATTATCTCATAATAATCATTTATGTGAGAGAAAGCCGACCCGTAGTGATACCACGGCTGAGTACACCTGTGAGCCTGAGTGTGGTTGCCGCAGGCCTAATTTTTCATACATAAGCCTTATAATACTATGACATGGTTTTTGCAGCTACAATGTCGAACGATAAAGTGGATTACATAGACGTATCATCAGAAGGCGACAAGTTGTTAGGAGCCGAGCTGTGCGACGGAGTACCGCTACTGTTCAGTCTGAAGCACGGCGTGTTGGCACTCAGCCAGCCCGACGCCATGCACACTACCCCGTGAGTACAGCGCGGTCACACGGTCACGCCATACTGCATTCTACTCATCTAGCTTAGTACTGAATCGAATGAATGTATCGTCAACAGGTCGATGTGCGAGAGTCCGATGGGGTCGCCGTGTCCGTCCGACATGTACGATGGCAACCTGTCGCTGTACGAGATCGATCCGCACGAGGTGAGCGGCAAGCGCGATCGGGTGGCCGCGGCCAGTGCGGGGACTATAGGGCCTTTTGCAGGTGGCCGCGGCCAGTGCGGGGACTAACGGGCCTGTTGCAGGTGGCCGCGGCCAGTGCGGGGACTAACGGGCCTGTTGCAGGTGGCCGCGGCCAGTGCGGGGACTAACGGGCCTGTTGCAGGTGGCCGCAGCCAGTATGGGGACTAACGCGCCTGTTGCAGGTGGCCGCGGTGGCGCGCGACGCGGTGGGGCGCCTCAAGACTGCCTTCCTGTTCCACGTGCGACGCGACGCGGCCGCCAGCGCCGCGCTGCTGGCCGGGCTGCTGGCGGCGCCCGCGGCCCCGGCGCCGCGCGACGTGGACGCGGACCTCGACCGCGCCGTGCTGCGCATCGCGTGCGACATGCTGGACGACGTGCCCGCCGGGGACCCCAGGTGCGTGCCAGTACTGTCACTGGGCTGCTACTGGAACTAGAAACTACACCGTAGGGGATGTTACTGGAAAGACATTAAATTCAAAAATGTGATCAAACTTTTTGTCTGTCTGTCACCGCTAAAACTACCGGTCCGATTACGATTAAACGTGGTATGATTGTACTCAAGACTGGGTACTTTTTATCCCGAAAAAGTATATACACGAAAAAGCAAACTTAATTGTGCGGCTCAACCACTAGACACCGTTACTGTACCAAACAAATATAAGTTTGTCGAATGTTAGGTTGTTCGTAGTGGTCTTAACGCTGTAACTGTGGGGCTGATATGGTCGAAATTAGCTTGAACCGATATTATTATTGTGAAAATACGTGATTTTGTGTATATGGTTCTTACTCAGTCACAGCAAAACGACTGAAGAGACCGGCATGTGAAACAGGTAGATTATAGTCTAAAGTAATACATCTTTAGCCGTGGGAAACCGGGCGAAGCCGCTGGCAGAAGCTAGTTGAAAATATAATTATAGTTTGTTTGAAAGTTTGAATTGAGTAGTTACATATCGAGTAGTCCCGCGGAGTGTGCCTGTAGTAGTGCGGTGCAGGTGGAAGCAGCGCGGCGGCGCGGCCGGCGGCGCGGCCGGCGGCGCGGCCAGCGACGTGTGCCTGGGCAGCTCGGCGGCGCTGCAGCTGGACGCGCAGCTGCGCGACAAGCAGCGCGCCTTCGCCCTGTTCTGCGACTTCCTGCGCGCCGCCGGCCTGTGGCAGCGTCTGGGGCTCGTCACCGCCGGTACCATTCTCTGCTTCTACTCCGACTGTGGCGCCCGCCTCGCTCGTATGTACATGCCATCGTTTGTTTCATTCAGAGTCTGGAAGTGTCGTCAGTACAGAGAATGCTCTGGGCGAGCTGGCCGACCTGCTGAGCATGGCTATCGCCCTGAGGAAGCTGCAGCAGGGCCCGGACGCGCAGCTCGTGGACGCGGCCATCAACCAGGTGAGTCGCCAGTGGCCGCGGTACTGCGCTGCGGTAACATGCTGTGATGTAGTCCGTCTCAATGGTACGGATTGGTACGACCTACATAACAATATGAATCGAAGCCGCATCTTGAGACTACTACGAGTCACTTGACAATCATAGCATAATTATCAATGCCAGAGTCTATGTTTCCGGAAGGTTATATTATGTCCTGGTGTCTTCAAAGTCCGAGTGCAAGTGCTTTCCATTTATCTCTAACGTTTCTCGTTTTCTTTCTACCGTTTTCCTATACGCCAAAAGATTACCTATTTTTTATTCGTGAGCTATTTATTTATTTATAATTCATGGAGGACTTACAGTTTACAAAAATTGATAAAAATAACAATAGGCGTAGATAAAATGAGCCAATAACAAGTCCTCACGTTTAGGATTTTAAATAAATTAATTAATATGGAGTGAGTACTATACAATATTAAAAATACATACATTCTGCGTAAATGAAAAAGTTTAATATTGAAACAGACCGTACAGACAATATGATTATTATAAACAGATCAAGAGAAACGATAAAAAACTAAATATCTATTGCTGCTTGAAAAAATTAAGGCTCAAGCACCTCTTTGCCGAGTTCACACTAGTTGTAAACCGTCGAGGTCATATTCCATACAAACGTAGTTAAAGTGTCTGCTTGCACGCACTATGTACCTGTCCTGCCTGTAGTTAGATGAGGAACAGGGTACATGTAAAGGTGGATTAAATCTAAATATTTTATTAGGTACATTAAATATTAATTAATTAAGCGAACCACCTCAAGAGGTCGCTGCTGATGCCTGTGTCAATAAACTTCTGCAACAGGATATCGTGGTCAATCCGGTCAAATGCCTTGCTGTAATCTGTCTAAACCATATCAACCTGCTTGCCTTTATCCATAGCATTCGTGACAGAGAAATAGTAGACCTCCGTCTAAAAAATCCGTGTTGAAAGGAGTTAAATGAATTGGCCAAGGTGGAGTATAGCTGTTTGTAGACAATCTTTTTATATATCTTAGGTATAATGCACAATTTGGAGATAGGCCTATAATTAGTTATCTTGGTTTTTGACCCCAGGCAACTTTCCATATTTTGGGGACTAAACCTTGAGTCAACGACTTAGAAAACAGAATGAAGTTACAATTTAGGGACAATTTAGACGATATTTCATGAGGGCCAGCACCCTTCGTTGGACCCAGATTACGAACTAAAGCGGCCACTTCTGTTAGACGAAGTTTGACACAGGAAGGTGAACATGAAAGAAGAAGAAATGTAGTTATGTAGTATTTCCATATTATGGAGTACAATATTTATAGCGAGTACAGTGTGAGGTCGCGGCCCGCGCAGGTGGTGTGCGGGGACGGCGCGCTGCAGGACGAGCCGTGGCTGGAGGCCGCGCTGGCGGGCGGCGCGCTCGCGCCCGCCGACGTCGCCTACCGCCGCGTCACGCACCTCGCCCGCGTGCTGCGCGCCCTCGCGCGCGCGCCGCGCCCCGCCGCGCCCCGCGCCGCCGCGCTGCACGCCGCCGCCACGCTGCGCGCGCTGCTGGCCGCGCTGGCCGCGCGCGCGCCTCGCCAGCGCCCGGCGCCGGCGCTGGGCCCGGGCGCGCTGCTGCCGGCGCTGGCGGCGCTGCCGCGGCGGGCGCTGGCGGCGGCGCGCGAGGCGGAGGAAGCGGCGCTGCGGGCGCCGGTGGCGGAGGCGGCGGCGGCGCTGGCGGACGCGGTGCTGTGGGACGCGGAGGCGCTGGCCGCGGAGGCGGCCACGCGGCCCGTCTACGAGCGCCTGCGCCGGGAGACCATACAGCCCTTCGGTCGGTGGCCCGGGTTGAACCGGCCGTAGTAACAATGGCTCGTACTTATATTATAATACCTCGTTTACGGACTACTAATATAATCGTTGTAATATTTTACAGTTGACGAGGGACAGACAGAGCGGGCCGCGGCACTCGCTGAAAAGTTTAAAGACTTCGAGCTCTTGATAGAAATGTGCATTAACAACAATGATTTGGAAAGACTGTACTCGTACATCGAGAAATACTCAAACGAGGTGATTCTTTTTATTCTTGCTGTTGATTTCAACTTCGCCTCAGTTTTTTTTAAACCATGTCGTATATTTTTTTCAACCTTAATAATGTGTAGTATTTCAAAAGTCAATTTAATTTGATGAGAGATGCATGCATATTGTATTTTATATTATGCAACGGCTATGTTTAAAATTGACATCTCATTGTGTATCAACCACTATGAAGACGATTTTTCTCTTCATTCGATTGGATTACTAGTTAGTAGTTAATAATGTCGATACTTCTGCTGGTACTAACCAGCACTGAGGTGACTAAGTAATCATCGTAGTTCCTAAAAATCACGAAATGACAGTGCACAGATAAATTGAAAATTTAGTGTTGAAGTCTTTGAATATATATTATAATGTTTAGATGGAGTGTCAGTTCACGAATGAGTTGTTCACTGCAATACACTTTTCGTGTACGCACGCTACGAAATAATTTACAAAGACGGCCACTTGCTTCATGGAATTGTGCTGAAATTATAAATGACGGTTCATTTATCCATCACTAAGTAATTAATAATTACATTATTAAATTTATGTTTTTGAGCTAACTAATTGCCGCAATATTTAATCAGTGTTGCCAATTTATTTTTCAATATTCCCTTCACCCAGGACTCACAAAGAGAGAAAAATGTACAAAAAAGAATTGGACAAAAAATGTCTTAATATGAATATTTAATTATTCTTTTCGTGCGTAAAATAAACAACTTGTATGACTAAATATATATATCAACAAAGTGTCCAATAAAAAAAAATCAATTAATTCTAAATCCCAAATATTTATGGGAGATATAAATTTGATAGGAGAACTTGGTCGTAGCTGGTATCATTTTTGGTCCGTGTAAACCACAAGCCGCAAGCACACATGCAAGAATTTTCGGAACGTCATATTTGTTGGTATTGTATGGTGACACTCGATCTAGACATTATATAATCAAAGGTTGAAGTGTTAAATGTTAGTGAGAGAGCAAGTGTCCATGCGTAGGGGTTCGCGGAGCTCGCGTTCGCGCGCCTGTGCGAGCGGGGCGGCGCGGGCCGCGCGCTGCTACTGCGCGGGCTGGGCGCGCGCTGCGGGCCCGCGCTGGCCGCCTGGCTGGCCGCCGCGCCCGCCCGCGCCCCGCTGCGCGCGCTGCAGGCGCTGGCCGCGCGCCGCCCCGCCGCCGCCGCCGCCGCGCTGCTGGCGGCCGCCGCGGTCGAGCGGGACTCCGTGGCGCGCCTCACGGTACGTGTCCGCTCCGCGGGAGACTACGGCGTGCGTCGTATATACTAAGGGAAGGGACGGCGTCCGCAGACGATGGCGTCGCTGGGCAAGCTGTGCGCCGTGGCGGCGGACGACGGCCAGGCCGCGCTGGCCGCGCTGGACGCGCGCCTCGCGCTGGCCGACCAGCACCACGCCCTGCCGCACGCACTGCGCCAGCACCACGGCCTGCCGCGCGGGGACTGCGCCGTGCTGCCGGCGGAGGATCTCATACAGGTACACATACATAAGGTTGTGTATATGTACACGATATATCTTAATCTAATCATTGTTACAGCAATGTGCGTACAAATTGTTTCAGCTACATTACTATGTTCTTATAATAACTATCGTGAGACATCCTAAAATAACTAAAAATCGCGGGTTACTTACGCGAAAATACGGATAAAAGCTCTACTAACCCCGTTGCTGCGACATCGCTGCGACCGCCCCACGATGCTCATGAGAAAGAGCCCCTCTGTGGCTCGAGACTAGTAGAGCTTTTCTCAATATTTTCACGTGAGTACTCCGCGATTTTTAGTTAGCTACAACTATGTGATACTGATGACGTATTGTACACCAACAGATGTACATAGACTCGGACAGTAAGGAGCTCACAGAGTACGACTACAAGAAGGCGCTGGACCTCACTGACTTCGTACAAGACATGGAAAGACGGGACGACCTGCGGCTCAGGGTAATATATTTATTGATACACGCATGTGTGTATCCTGGCCGACGATTGGTCGTTGTATCGCGTGATGTGTACGTGTATATATATGTAGGTGTGGTGTGCGTGTATCCTGGCCGACGATTGGTCGTCGTGTCGCGTGGATGCGCCGGCGCAGGAATTGTCCGACAAGATGTTCTTCCGGCTCATTGACCTCGTGCATCTTATGGGTGAGCGTACACTTCGTGTATTTTATTATCCTTTCATATTTTATTTAAAATGTAATAAACAGTATTTGTTGGTGGTGCTCACACACACGTAATTATTAATGAACCTCTAGCATAGTATAAAAAACATACAGTAGGACGACGCCTTTGATCTCGTGTAAAATCAATCGACATCGTCTAGACAGTAACGCATCGGCCAGGGTTGTCAAAAATATGAGCTTACGGCACCGACTAGAAGTCGTCCAGTGGGTGAGTAACTCATCAGTACTAATATATGTAGTTATTTTTTGCGTTTTAGTTTTTACTTTATATTTGTTTTTAGTTTTTTTTGGGAACTCGATTTTTAAAACGCAGTTTTTATTTTTTGACAGCACCATCAGTTTTACCACCTTTGAAACCGTGAAAACAACATCCATGACGATAAATTGAAAATATCGGGCAGCGACCATCTTGGATTTGCATTTTAACAACACCATCATTTTCACAATCCTCGAAAACCATGAAAACGATACCCATGACATTAATTTTAAAATATCGAGCAGCGGCTATCTTGGATTTGCATTTTAACAACACCATTTTCACAATCCTCGAAAACCATGAAAACGACATCCATGACGATAAATTGAAAATATCGTGCAGCCGCCATCTTTTTTTTTTTTTTTTTCTTTATTAAAATATAATAAGAGTCTTTAAATCTAAGCGGATTATGCCAGACTCATCGTGACCATGAGAATTATTGGAGTAGCAAGAAATATTAGGATCTGTCCAAGCTACATACGAACTCATAGATCTTAACAGCACCGTCACAGTATGGCTTGGACAGAATGGACTGAAAAGCACCTATTTCTACAACATTAATGTTCAATTCTTGAATTAATATTTCTCTCTCCCTTTTATATCGGACACATTCCAGTAACAAGTGTTGGACATCTTCTATTACTCCGCATGCATCACAATTTGGACTGCTTGTTTTCCTCATTAGGAAACCGAACTTGTTGAGAGGAATGTGTCCAGACCTTAGTCTATGCGCAGTTACAATAAATTTTCTACTTATTCTAATATCAGCAAACCAAGGAATACGAGGAGGCTCGCTCTGCATGGTCCTATACCAGATTCCTTTTTGTAATGAATTTTTATCAAAAAACTCTTTCCAAATTTTGTGACAACTGATTTTGAATTTTGGTAATACTTCAAAAGGACAAGGTTTGACATCAAGATCTGAACCACTTCTGGATCCATTCTTTGCTAATTGATCAACCTCCTCATTTCCCTGTAAACCGATATGCGATGGAACCCACTGTATCTTCAAAGATATATCATTTTTATGTTGGTACTCATATATAAGATTTAATACAGCATAGGCTATCGATGCACCTCTGTAGCCAGAAGCGCATCGAACCAGATGCTGTAAAGAACTTTTACTGTCACATATAATTACCACCTTTCTATAACAGGTCTTATTTTTGAGATACAGTAAAGCTTGCAGTATTGCAGTAAGTTCCGCCGTCATAATACATACATTTTTATTATTTATTTTAAAAAAACAATCAAAATCATTGTTTTTACTATTATATGGGTCAAAAAATGCCACACCTACACCATGAGCACTCTTTGATCCATCAGTATAAATTTTATGCCACCCATGGTATTTTCTGTTTAATTCCTCTAAAATATTGCTTTTCATTATAACAGGATTATAGCTATTTTTACTGGACATTATACAGTCTAAACTAGTGTTAAATATATGGGATGTTTTGATGTTTGAAACCCAAGTATCTAAGGTAAACATTCTGAGAGGTTCACTGTTATCTATAACTTCATTCTTTGTTTCACCATAAGCAGTTGCTAAGAGAGGTTTCTTTTTATTATGCCAGTATCGACTAGTGCAAAGAGTGCTAAGTTCTTCGAGTAAGCTGATAGTTACATTATTAGACCATGATCTTGCTTTCAAAACATATTTCACTGCTAAATAGTATCTACGCACAAATAATGGTTGAACACATAGTTCGCACTCCATAATATGTATTGGGGTACTTCTTATAAATCCACCTACAATCCTTAAACACTGATTTTGAATGACATCTAATTTATGAACATGAGTCTTAGCACTATTATCATACATGAAACTACCATAATCCATCCTACTTCTTATCAATGCTATGTATAGTCTTCGTAGATGTAGTGGATGCACACCCCAGGATGAACCAGATAGTAGTTTTAGTATATTTACAAACTTTTTCGTTTTCTCAACTAATTCGTTGATATGTTTACCCCAACGCAGTGACCTGTCGAGCCACACACCCAAATACCTTATATTGTCAGCAGTTTGCAATGTTATGTTATTGATCTGAAGTTGAACTTGTTGTATTCTACGACGTCTACTGAAAACAAAGTATTTTGATTTGTTAGCAGACAGCTGGAGGCCAATATCTTGCAAAAGTAAACATATTGTATTCAACGCCTTTTGCATATTGATTGTACTTTCATTAAGTCTATTACTACTTGTGTAAAGGACGAAGTCATCTGCATACTGTGAAATAACTACGTCTGTTATATTTTTACAAATTTTATGGGTAACAATATTAAATAATAAAGGTGACAGAGGGTCACCTTGACCAATACCTTTACTTGTCCATCGACATATAACTTTAGGTTCACTATATTTATTAATTTCTATTAACAATCTCCTCTCACTCAGATAAGACCAAATATATTTAGATAGTTTAGATCCAACGTTTAATTCTTCTAATGCGAGGACGACCTTGTTTATTAAAATATTATTGTATGCGTTATCAATATCTAGAAAACTGGTTAGTGTAGACAAGTTTTTTGTGAAACCTATTTGTATATAAGATATTAATCGTACTAAGGAATCCAATGTAGACTGTGCACGCCTAAAGCCCGTTGTTTTATTCGATAAAATTTTATTTTTTTCAACAAACCATTCCAGGCGTTTAGTAATCATTGAATGGAATACTTTACATACACATGACATTAAAGCAATAGGTCTCAATTTAGGTGTCGGACTCGCCAAGTCACCATGTTTGGGTATCGGATGTATTTTAACATATCGCCATTGCAAAGGAATAGGTCCTTGAGCCAAAATACTATTATATATATCTAATAGAAAAGATTTAGCGTTTATTGGTAGGTTATACAACATAGAATATGCTATCAGGTCATTTCCGGGGGCTGTATCTTTTTTTTTTAAACATCTGTTCATTTCATCCATGTTGAAGTCCGCCTCTAGTAAAGGATTTATCGATTGAAACAGTGGCATTTGTGGGATCGCAGTATCAGGGGATAAACTACACAATAATTCCTCTATATGCTGATCAGAAGCCTGAAATTTCTGTCTATTATATCCTTTAACCCATCTGATTCGATGCCACATCTCAGAGAGGGATACCGACTCATCAATATTATTACAGAAATCGTTCCAACATCTAGATTTGTATTTCTTTATTAAACGTTTAGTGTCATATATTTTTTGTTCTAACAAAGTCAGGTTTCCAGGAGTAGGGTTTTGTCTAAATCGCTTTAGCAGCAGTCGTCGTTGAGCTACTGACTTTGAAAGTTCGGGGTTCCAATAATATTTAGGTTTAAATTTGGATAAAGGGTCTGTACATAGTTTAATTATCGGGATACTCCTATCGGCGGCATAATTAACTTTTTCTATAAAATAATTATATTTTTCTTGAATCTCAACTGTCCCTACTGGGTTACTAAAATCTGAACTAAGCGTGTCTGCATATAATTTCCAATTGGCTAATTTATAATTACGCTTCCTGATACTACATCCATATCGTCGATGGTTTAATACTACTTTAATAATCAAGTGATCACTGCCTAGGTTTTCATTGGTTACAGTCCATTTAAAATTTACAGCTATGTCAGTGGATATAAATGTTACATCTGGGGATGACTCCTGCATTGTGCCATTAACAAGTTTGACTCGTGTTGAACTTCCGTCATTTAAAGGTATATAGCCATAATCAATAGCAGAGTTCATTATTTGCGCGCCTCTCGTATCATTTCTGTTTGACCAGTTTGTATGATGTGCATTAAAGTCACCTGCTATTAATGATTTTTTTGAAACTAACCCAAATAGATCATCCCAGTCCAGCTGTGAAGTATGAACATTAGATGGACAATATATTGATATAATATTTTCTAAACTAGAACAATTCAATAATTTAATACATAACATTTCTAAACCTACGTTACCCACTCTGTGTGTTGATACTTGTGTTTTAAGTGACTTATGTATCACAAACGCAACTCCGCCATAAGAATCTTCTCTGTCGTTCCTATATGTATAATATCCACTAAAGTTCATTTCTATTTCTTCATTCAACCATGTTTCGCTTAGTATAGCTAAGTGAACGTTTTCCTGTTGTAATAAACACTCTAATTCTTGTTTTTTTGGCTTGATACTTTGAGCATTCCATTGAAGTATGTTGAGCTTACCATTATAAAGAGAATTAGTCATCATTTTGACTATTGAATATTTTGTTATACCACTCTGTTTCGATAAATGTCTCTACGACGTAATTTTTAACCTCATCAATTATTAGTTTCAACACAGCCAGAAATTTTCCTTCAAATGTTTTATTCGACAAAAATACTTCTCTTATTTTATTAAATATTATTTTCCAATCAACTTTACGCTTTTTCCTACATTCCGTCTCCTCCTCCGTTACTTTTGTTTTATCAATCTGTATTGTTTTATTATTTTCTCGTTCATATTCCATTATATTCTCACATGTGTTCTTGTTGCTTTTTTTTGTTATATTTCTGTTTTTATTCTTACTATTACTTGAACTATACGTATTTATGATAGAAACATCCAGTTGTTTTTCTTTATTTTGCAAGCTACTAACTACTATATCCCTGTAGGTAACAAAATTTTGTGAATCTGATATTTGTGTATTATTGATCGTGTTATCTTGAATTTCTTTTGTATACTGGTTTCCGTTAATTTGATTTTTATTTATGTACACATTTAATGCCTTTCTGTAAGTGCAATTATTTTCTGCCATAATTATACGTATTTCTTTTTCTCTTAAGAATATTGGACATTGTTTATCCAGGGACATATGTGGTCCTTTACAATTAACACAGGTATATTGTGTTGTTTCACAATTGGGATGCAAACCACCGCACTTGGGACAAATAATTTTCTTTGTGGGGCATTGCTTAATTATATGTCCAAACTTCCAGCACCCTGAGCACTGGGTAACTGGAAATACATAGGGTTCCACCTTGAATCTACACCCGTATCCAACAACATACGAGGGCAAAGAGGGACCCCTGAAACATACACGAATTGTTTCGCTATCAACCCATTTTTCTCCAGAGAACCGTTTCAGACGGTTTATTGAGACCAGATGTTGACCATGTTCACTAGAGAATAATTCATGTATTTCTGAAAGTTCTATGTCTAAATCAATATTTTTTATAATCCCATAAGATAAATTAATTTCCTGTGTATATTGGCATCTATAATCTAGTTCTTTCATTTTTGTACTAGATATTAACTTTTCAGCCTCTTCACGTTTTGTAAACTGCACGAGAACCCGATACGGGTTTTTATATTTAATTTTATTTATGCCACAAATTTTTTCTTCTCTAAGCAGTTTAGCTAGTCCAATTTGCTTGGGTAGTACTTGTTTCGAAGTAATACATACTTCATTTATGTTTGTAAAGCTCTCGATATTTTTATCGGTATTTTCGGTTGAAATGCTTCTAAGTAAGCGTTTTGGATTCCTATTCACCACAATAAATTCTCCTTCATTAAGTTCACTTTCATCACTTTCTTGCCTTATGCGTTTTTCAGCCAGTCGTTGAAACGACGTATTTTCATTGTTTACTTGCTGCTCCATCTCTTCTTCGTCACTATTTTCACTCAAAACACCAACTTCTTTGTCTTTTTCATTCATTTTAAAATAAGTATTTTACGGCGGGTAGACGTAAAAAATATTTGACATCGGAATAAACGTATGTCCACTCCGTATTACGCGTCGCACGCAACTGAGCCGCCATCTTGGATTTACATTTTGACAGCACTATCATTTTCACCACCTTCGAAAACCATGAAAACGACACCCATGACAAAAAGTTGAAAATTTCAGCCAGCGGCTGTCTTGGATTTACATTTTGACAGCACCATCGGTTTTACCACTCTCGAAAACCATGAAAACGATATCCATGACGAATCATTAAAATATTCGTGCAGCCGCCATCTTGGATTTACATTTTGACAGCACCATCGGTTTAACCACCCTCGAAAACCATGAAAACGATAACCATGACGATTCATAAAAACATTCGCGCAGCGGCCATCTTGGATTAACATTTTGACAGCACCATCGGTTTTACCACTCGAAAACCATGAAAACGATACCCATGACGATTCATTAAAATATTCGTGCAGCCGCCATCTTAAATTTACATCATGACAACACCGTCGCTTTTACCACCCTCGAAAACCAGGAAAACGATATCTATGACGATAAGTTAAAAATTTCGGGCAGCCGCCATCTTGGATTTACATTTTGACAGCACCATATTTTTCACCACCTTCGAAAACCATGAAAACGATACCCATGACGATTAATTGAAAATATCGTGCAGCCGCCATCTTGGATTTACATTTTGACAGCATCATCATTTTCAATTTATCGTCAAAATGAATCACTCAAAATGCAGTATAAATCATACATGACCACTAGACAAAATTCTATGTTTATGAAACCATGTCTACCAAATGACGTCTTACGAATTATTAGAAACTTAAAAACAACAAATAGTGTAGGTAACGATGGTATTTGTACTAAAGTTCTGAAATATATAGCCACGAATATTTCTCCTCATTTCAGCTACCTCATAAATTTATATGTATTGATGTATTGAAGCAGGGATATACCCTGATAAATTAAAAACTTCTATTATTAAACCAATTTTCAAGAAAGATAATAGAGAAAATCTAGAAAACTATAGACCTTAATTTCAGTTATATCAAAGATATTTGAGAAACACATTGTAAAGAACTCAACAATTATTTGGAATGTAAAAATATTTTGGCAAATGAACAAAAGGGATTTAGACACAATAAAACTATTAACATGGCAATATGATTTTCTAAAAATAGTTATGGCTGATATCGACAATAGAATACCTGTATGCTCAATCTTTATGGATATGACGCAGGCTTTTAACTACGTTGACCATGATATATTAGTCGGGAAACTTTATCATTACGGAATAAGAGGTAATATTTTGAACTTAATCGAATCGTATCTTAAAGGTCGCAATCAATAGGTACACTGAATTGACTACAAATAATATTTTGACAAAAAAAGAAGAAACGTTTCGATCATGCAAGCGAAAACTATTGACATGTAATTTATTAAAACACGACAAATTCATATTTACTTATCTAACTAATAATGGACTTACTGATTTAAACTCTTATACGAGTATTTGTATGCCTAAAATAGGCTGATCAAAGCGCACTTTAATCTAAAAATGACCAACCAAATGTACCTATGTACCTATCACAAATAAAGGTTTCATTTCATTTCACCAGCTTCGAAAACCATGAATACGATACCCATGACGATAAATTGAAAATATCGTGCAGCCGCCATCTTGGATTTACATTTTGACAGCACTATCATTTTCACCACCTTCGAAAACCATGAAAACGACACCCATGACAAAAAGCTGAAAATTTCAGCCAGCGGCTGTCTTGGATTTACATTTTGACAGCACCATCCTTTTCACCATCCTCGAAAACCATAAAAACGACACCCATGACGATAAATTGTAAAATTCATGCAGCGGCAAACATACATAAAAAAGAAACAATCATTCGAACATAGTGCCTCCTCCTGTTTTTGAAGTTGGTAAAAACAAACACACGTTAGCCCTGAATAATATATCCCGACCTGCTAACATCAGTTTGTTCGCAGCTCGGGATCGGCCTACCCGCGTCTCGCGCCTTACACCCCGCACGATTGCCCTGTCTAGACGTCTTAGTTGGACGACTGTATAGACTGTGCCTCCAGTGTACATTACGTTTACATATAATAGTATTTGTTATAATTTAATCGCCACGCTTGCTCAATGCGGGTTGGCGATTTCAAACTTATAATAGGAAATTATAAGTTCAGGTTTCCTCACGTTTTTCTTCATCGTTTGTAAGTGCTGTCTAAATAATCTTAGAAAGTACATATTATAATTCAGAAAAAGTCATTGGTACTAACCGTTGGTAGGTTTCTAACCGGCGCCCTCATTCATGAGAAGCGAAGGCGTCTTAAATCTCCGGGCCACCACATCTGATTTGTTGTAATACTTGCTAAAAATTGTGGAAGTCAGTGAGGTTTTTTTATTTGTGGTCTGAATGATACAAGCGGGAGTAAGTAGTATAAGTACTGAATCCGTGTGCAGGCGCGGACGTGCAGGTGTTGCTGCCGGCGGCGGAGGACGTGCTGACGGCGCCCGAGCTGGCCGAGCTGGCCGGCGACGCGCGCGTGCACTACCTCATCAAGTACGGCTACCAGTGTCTCAGCGCCCGCCACTGACCGCCCGAGCTGGCCGGCGACGCGCGCGTGCACTACCTCATCAAGTACGGCTACCAGTGTCTCAGCGCCCGCCACTGACCGCCCGAGCTGGCCGGCGACGCGCGCGTGCACTACCTCATCAAGTACGGCTACCAGTGTCTCAGCCCGCCACTGACCGCCCGAGCTGGCCGGCGACGCGCGCGTGCACTACCTCATCAAGTACGGCTACCAGTGTCTCAGCGCCCGCCACTGACCGCCCGAGCTGGCCGGCGACGCGCGCGTGCACTACCTCATCAAGTACGGCTACCAGTGTCTCAGCGCCCGCCACTGACCGCCCGAGCTGGCCGGCGACGCGCGCGTGCACTACCTCATCAAGTACGGCTACCAGTGTCTCAGCGCCCGCCACTGACCGCCCGAGCTGGCCGGCGACGCGCGCGTGCACTACCTCATCAAGTACGGCTACCAGTGTCTCAGCGCCCGCCACTGACCGCCCGAGCTGGCCGGCGACGCGCGCGTGCACTACCTCATCAAGTACGGCTACCAGTGTCTCAGCGCCCGCCACTGACCGCCCGAGCTGGCCGGCGACGCGCGCGTGCACTACCTCATCAAGTACGGCTACCAGTGTCTCAGCGCCCGCCACTGACCGCCCGAGCTGGCCGGCGACGCGCGCGTGCACTACCTCATCAAGTACGGCTACCAGTGTCTCAGCGCCCGCCACTGACCGCCCGAGCTGTACTGCTGTACCAAGCCCCCCCTTCCAGTAAGCGGGGCCGACCCCGCGACATGTTCTCGCCCGTCGCAGACGCAGCCACACCTAGCACTTACTTTCATCTCGTATTTTTTTAATAAATACAATTGTAATGAAACAACAACAGACACTTCATTATTGTTATTGTCTTCAAAGACGACAGTCTGATAATTTAGATGAATTGCAGTAGCTGAGCGTAGCAGCTCGGTAGCTATGTCATATAATAATATTAGAACGGACATACACAAGTTTTAATGTACGACATTCTAAGTATGGAGAGCTATGCAGAACGTATTCAGTTTGATTTCATTTTGTTTGTATTCAATGTCAAAAAATAGGCATTATTATATTTTTAAACTCATAAATTCAACAAATAAAGTACTACAGTGGAAATGGTAGATATATAATAAATTATAGATAAGTTAGTAATAAGTATAGTACATAGATAAGCTAATGTTCCCACTCCGGCTGGGTCGAACGCGTCCGACTGACATCCTCGCCACTCGCCGTGGCGGAGTCAGTCGCACCGCAACTACTAACTCACCATTCGATGATGTACGTGCAGACTGATGTAGATTGTAACTAGTGTAAGGTCGGAGCTTGTCTACAGGGGACTGCGGGGCTCTGCCCTGCTTGCTCGTCTGCATACTGCGCAGACAGAACCGAAATATTGAAAGGTGACGAACCTGTGCAAGTAGAAATGTGGCCGCCAGGCCGCCACACTCCCATCTAAATACTTACTATAGAACGTTCCCGCATTATTTGTAGATAAACTCCGAAACAAAAATGTCGTTAATGTATGCTTACTATTTAATAATGTGTACTAATATACCTACGTCGTAAGACTGGCTACGACAGTGCGCGGTGTGTACAGTACTCGTCCGAGTATACTATACTAACTGTCGCTACACCCGACACCACTCGACACTTGGTGACAAACTGGTTAGATAAGTATGGGGAAAATTGTAATTATATATTTTATATTGAAATATTGTGGATCTCCAGTCCGCCATGGACGTTGCACTGATTAAACAACAGTCTGAAGTCGCAAATCATGGAGAGCAATAAAATGTAAAACTTAAAGACTGTTTTCTTTACACATTAAAGTTTCAGCAATAATAGGTATACATATTTGTTAATCAAAATATGTAGTTATGAGTATGAATGTCTATTGATGAAAGTAATAGTACTGAGTGCGCACGAGGTTGGGCACGCATCAGCCCTGACCTTGTATAGTTTCTGATAAATATTAATCTCCAAGGTATAACAAAAAATTACTTAGATGTCAAAAGCGAGTGCTTAGCCTCTGTGTTTTACACGTGTGTGTCTTAAAAAAGCTTTCTCGCTTCTACATCGTTATGGAGTATTGTAAGTTTTTTGTGTATTTGTAATGAATCTGTTGTTATGTCTTTATTAATTACAACTATATCATTTCTGCAAAATACAATTATGTAATTAGGTGTCTGTTTCATTGTGATAAATCATTGTTATGTTAAAATTTGTCATTAAATAATAATTATTGTTGGTGTGATTTTGATTTGAATAAAATTTTGTAAATAAAATGTGTTGCGTATCATTTTCCCACCACTCGACATGTTCGCGAACTTCGGCGGCGAGTGACGATAGTCACAGAACTCGGTGTACAATAGTACCTAGTTGGTAGTCAGTAGTCAGTACTTCAGTGGTAGAGTGGTACAGTAGCGCGTGTCCAGTATGGCGGCGAGCGCGAGACGCGGCGCATGCGCGGAGCGGCCGCTCGGGGACCGCGCGCCGCCAGTCCGGCACGCGACACGCACAGCGCCGCTCGTGGCCGCGCGACACTCCGCAACTATACATTGAAATATTCAATCACGTTTCTACGTAATAGTGCGTGTATCAGTGTCTTTACAAACTAAGTTACCTTAGCTGTAATACGATAAAAGGCGACATATTTATGGTGCTGTCTCCTGTACCGGCTGAAACTTGTAAGTGTTTGCCGTATCTAGTTATATTTCTGCGAAAAATATACAAGTAGTAAACTAATTAAAACTTGGATAAACTAGCTAATATTCATAATAGCTTGGGAGCATATGAAACATAATTTCATAATATTCATATTTACATCCACAACGAAATTGGTTTAGTTTTTAATTAAAAGTCGAAACCAGTCTTAGAAATATTAAAATATTTATTTATTTATTTATGTCAAAAGTCAAAAATCATTTATTTCAATTAGACCAGGAAGGCATTTTTGAACGTCATCTATAATTTTATGATCATAACACTCCTTTTGGCTTCGCTGTAGTCGCGTAATAAAACAAATGTTCAGTGTGACAACATTGAAAGCAATAATTAGTAGACAATGCTTACTATTCACTATCAGCTGACGCGAAGTTGTGACAGCTAAATTACCCCAAATCTAGAAAATGTAGAGTACGTAACACGACACCTGAAGCTCTTCAATCTACAAAGCTTATATAGACTTCTAACTTCGGCCAGGATATAGGTGGCCTATGTGTAATTCCTGAATCCAGATCATAATCTACCCCTATTCCAAATATCTTGATCCCTTTAGCCGTTTCGATATACAGGAGTAACAAACATAACAATACAAACTTTTGCATTTATAAGATTATTAGTAGGATAACCACTAGTCCACCTGTTTGCTTGTATCAATTGCACATAGTTACCTCCTTGTGTCACCTGTCTGTAATCAGTCGAGAGCTTCACTCGGCTTGTTGTGACTACTACATAATGATACAGAGTACGTCTAATCCAGGATACAACGTAAACCAGTGCCATTTATAGTTAAATAGTATGTTAACGTCTCAGGCTGCGACTGCTGGAATGGAAACTTTATTTTCGGCTTTAAGACATACGTTTGTGCCTAATTTTTATTCCTTTTGGTTAAGTTGTTTGTGTCGCACTTGAAGCGTGTGGGGTGAGTAGTGATCGCATGTCGTCGTTAATTTAACAGTAACTAAACTACTTCCAGTTAATTGAGTCGTCATTTGTGCAGTCCTAATTGACGTGCACGTAAGTATCGCTGCACGCCTAGCTAGTGTTTGCTATTTTTTTAATACATTAAAAAAAATAGCAAAGTAGGCTAGGATTTTCGGAGGAGGAACCAGACCCGGAACAACAATCTGTAGATCACAGAAAGAGTTGCTCCGTGCGGGAATCAAACCCCGACACGTTGCGTCATTGCGTGGCAGCCAGTTGCCCAGCCACCGCTCCCATCGTGCACTCAACTTGCACATTGCTTAATACGATTCTCGAAAGTCGTTTAAAGTCAAAGTCAAAATTATTTATTTCAATTAGACCAGAAAACCACTTTTTAACGTCAACAACAAATTAAAAGTGAAGCATCTTAACGACGGATTTTTCTGACAGCATAATCAGCAGAGCTCAATCGTCCCGCTAAAGATGTAATGTGAGGACCCCATGTCTACAATAGTTCCCAGTAAAGTAGTCTCTTTTACTAATCTCTCATCTTCGTTGCTTTTAACGTTTGGCAAAACACATCGTTTAGTACTAAGGTTTGAACCTTCATTAGGTAGGCCATTATTTACGTCGTCATAATTATTTTTTCGTCTATTTATTTTATTTCAAAAGCTGATTAAGTGTCATCAGCAAATAATACCACATGCGGTTCATTTTTAAATAAATGAGGCAAATCTTTATGTATGTTAAAAATAAGAATGGACCTAGTATCGAGCCCTGCGGTACACCCATAGATATGCTAGCACCCTGTGAATTTACTTTATTTACTTTTACTTTAAGTAGCCTATCCTGGAGGTATGATTTCAAAATAGTAACATAATTACTAAATCTATGTATATATAGTGTTACATAACTAAAAATATTAAAAATTCTTTGAAGTTGCATTTTTAATTGATTCAAATTAGAACAAGCGAGCAAGCCGGGGGACTTCGATAACAATATGACATTCCAGACTATTTATTCAGTGAAATTTAAATTATATCAGAAAGTCACCAAGTCCTTAGGTACTTACCTACCTATCTTCCTAGAACTTAGCTCTATTATTTCCTATTAAATCAGACGACATTAATTTACAGCAAGCCGTGGTCCGCCTGATGAACGATGACCGCTTAGATTATCGTCACGCTAGCTGCTAGTCGCCATTACAGGTCTGCTGCCTTGAAGCGACCTCACTATTTCATATCTGATTCCGGCACGACACCTAACTACGAAATTTTATTACGTAAGAAAGTAGTGAAATAACAAAATATATTACAGTGGGCAGTGGGCAGAGGGTAGGTCTACTTCTACACTATAAATACTATTATTTATCTTGATTAAAATGGTTTTTACCAAAGTAACAGAAGATTAGTCTGCAAATCGAGTCAAAATGAAGTACGAATAGGCAGTCATTAATTCACACGCAATATCGTTGCGTTGTTATCAAAACCCCAGGGTACCTAACTCCCTCCCTACATCCTGTTGGTAGGTACATAGGCAGGGGTTAAGTTTTCAACCTTCACCACACGCCGCACAACAGACTGTTGTACAAAAATAATGTAACGAATTAATTTACATTTCGCTTAACTTAATTAATTAAACACAACAAAATACATTGTGTTCATACAATCTTTACTCTTATCGATAATGAATTAGGAATTTCATGAATTGGGTGTTACATTTTTATAGCACAGGTACATACGTAGCTAGCAAGTACCTAAGGTAATAGTTAACTGGGTACACATTCACTTTGTTAGACTACATAAGTATGTAGACACAGTAGCCATTATACTATGGTAACTAGGTTACTGTTGCGAATAATGCTTGTTAGGGCGCCAGGCGCCTGTCTGCTTGTGACGTCACGGGACACGCTGACACGTCAGAGAGCTTGCGGGGGTGGCACGACGCAACCCTCGAGCTGCACGGTGACGTCAAATACTAGTAGATGATCCAACCACGTTATTTACCTACGACGTAACAAGTGTTCATAATTATTACATGCAATATTATTTGTTTTAAATTTAATTATGTTCCTACCTACCTAGGTTCGTCTTCTCATTTCAATTTCTGTAATGCACAGAATTTTAAATTCGGTTGGTATAGGTGTGGTCACAGGTCACAGGCTCGTTCTCTATTCTACTTCTGCCTATTCTTTCCTACATAGTATAAAACGAAGTCGCTTTCCGTGGTCTACGTGTCTATAAATAACTATAAAGTACCTACGAAACAGATTTTGTTTATAGATAAAGTGAATCAAAAGGAAGGTTTATAATGTAGGTATAATAACTCCAATAATTATTATATAAACTACGTTAAAAAATTGAACAACTTTCTCCCAAGCGTAACAAACAGTTTTCTGCAAACCGCATCAAAATCGGTTCAGACAATCGCGAATTATCGCGCACAAACAAACATACACAAAACGGTCGGTTGGAAAAACGCGTGCAATGCAATGCCGCGGCCAAAAGCTAGTAATATTATAAATATATCTAAGTAATTATTATAACTGACTGAAAGTGTATATTACTAAACCTATAGTAATATCATACATGTAGTAATTGAGTAGTATGCTGTGTATGCATTGTAATATAATTCTGCATCTCTTTCTAACCCTCCATCTCCATGTTGATATTAATTGTCTGCCTGCTTAAATAGGAAAGACAATGATTAATTCAATTTTATCAATTCAATATCGACTTAGGGATAACAATGATGTCAAGACGTAACTACCTGTATCTGTATTGAATGGCTGCTGCAGACCTAGATACCAATTAAGTAGTAACAATAGCGCAGTATGTCATTCAGTGTTCGTGAGAAAGTTGTCCGCTCGTCTACTGAGTGAGTGACTCGGCTATCAGTAGGAATAGCTCTGTGGTTACTGTGTTACGCCGGTTACGCGATAACTCAAAGGTTGGTTTTTCTTTGCCTATTGTGTGTTAATTATGTGGCGTCTTGAGTCTATCATAGTTTTGTCAGTTACAAATCAGAAAATACTACTGTTCGTTTAAACAAAACCAACACCTGTCATTCTCTGTAGGAATAGTCAAAGGATAAAACAGTAAAGTTAATGCTGGCGGACATCTGTGAAATGTACCAGTACTAGTACTATCTAGTAACTCTCCAAAGTGCGCTCACTCGCTCGCTCCCTACTTACTGAGACTTACTCGGATGTGATGTCATTCTCCATTCTCTGTAATATAATATATCTTCAGTTTCAGACCATCGGACTCTGTCTATAACAGTATCGTGACTAGGAAGTTATAAATCTATGGCGACAGATCCTGAAAAAAAACCTAATAGTATTTATGCGCGTACCACTTGCTAGTTAATTTTGACTGCACGGTTGGCACAGCTGCTGCGCAACATGTAGCGGCTTCGATTCCCGCTCGGAACTACCTACCCTTTGTGCGATCCACAAATTGTTGTTCCGGGTCTGGATTTTATGCGTATGTACATGAAATTGTATGTTTATAAACACACTTAGAGCTTAGGAGGTAATCCTAGTGTGGGCTAACATTTATTTATAATTACAAAATAAAATAATTTGTCTTAGTCGCGTTCGGGTGTAGAGTCACGTATTTTCGACTTTGGCAGTCAGACAGCGAGCTTAGGCACTGTCGCCATATAAATTATTTACAATTCCTACAATAGACCTCTTGTACATTACACACCACACGTAGGTACCTTCCTCTCCTGTTTAATATAATTCACTCCACGTCAACGTGAGTTTAGGTAGATACCTACGTACTACCGAACTGGAAGTCTGGAACAAAAAACGTCATTGTTCAAAAAAAAAAATAAGTGGAGTTCGCGAACGTGATGAACAATAGCACGATGAATTGATCCAAGTGAGTGTTAAGGTATGCAATACGCAGGACACGCAGGTGCACCCTGTCGACAGACTATTTAAAAGATGTGATGTTCTGTAATTGAGTCTCTGGTAACCTCACTCACATGTCGAAACACAACGCAAGCGTTGTTTCACGTCGGTTTTCTGCTCGGCCGTGGTATCACTCCGGTCGAGCCGGCCCATTCGTGCCAAGCATGGCTCTCCCACACTTACACTCAGTTGGAAGATTCCATGTTTCATCAAGGGAACCCATTATGTCCCACTTTACGTATTACCACATTACTAGCTCCAGTAAGGAGTCTAATTCCAGAAACTAAGGAGGATTTCCTTCATTGTTTCAAATCATCAGCTAATGCAATGACATCGCCACTCGCCATCCCTGATAACTGTGACCTCCGCGGCCGATGATTAACTAATCTTCGAGTCTTTTTATGCAACATCATCCGCCCACTGGAGCATCTGAGTGTGCAGGACTTGCCCCGGCCCAGTTAAAACTAGACCTGGGCTCTGGACCTGCCACCACTCCTTACAACCTACCTATACTACTAGTAATAGCAGGTGCACTACGTACCAACGTAACCTCTGTCAAGTAAATTTAATTAACGTCGGTACTGGTTGTTGGAATAACAGTGCTTGGTGTACTACGAACTATATATTGTTATGGTCATGTCATGACACGGTGTTACATTTGAAGTGGGTAAGTACCTACACATGTAAAATGAGAACAAGAGTACAGCTGGTCATTCTGTGGTACAGCTCCTCAATCTAACTTGGGTGATTCACAACCATTTTCTTATCAGTCACGGTACTTGCATGATGCATCTCTTTGCCGAAATCGAATACTTGAACTGTGGGCGTGTATCGGTGCGTGGTGTGCGAGCGCATCCTACTACATAATTCATCGACTTTGTTCCGAGCCGCGCCCGGTTCCGCGTGCGTGATCCACTTACACGTACCTACTTGCTACACGATTTATTAGTTCATTCATATCAATTACAAGTATATAAGTAACTGGTTACTTCTCAATTACAAAACACAATAATTTGGAGATAAGTAACGACCTCTACTTTGTTTACCACATCGATGTAACTTGAAAACTTCACACAAAACATTTGCATGCTACCTATTATATATTCAGTGAGTAGTGTCAAGTCGTGTTATATTAATAAGCACAGTATCGCCAAATCTTCAGGACGTGAACGATACAACGTATTTACATAAATGCTTATTTAAATATTCAACGTGTTGAATTGATAAAGTGAGGACTGTCGCTTTAAGTGATAATTGTACCCGTACTTGAGCATGGCGTCATTTTCATTGAAAGTACCAATTGATAAGTTTGTAATTCAGCAATACCTATACCTACAGCACGGGTAAGTAAATCCAACATGTAACATTCAGAATAACTTGTGAATTCTTTTTTTTTTGCTAAAATAATACGTAGGTACATATACAAGTTAACATACTCAACTGAAAACACATTAATAAATGCCTTAATACAGGGGTATAGTCTAGTGGCCATAGATAGCAGTTGATGCACTATAAACAGGCTATAAAGGTACTACATGGGTTGCTAATACAAATTTCCTTCCTCACATGACTACCTCCTGTTTACGTGCGTACAAGGAGTTCTGTAGTCTGACTTATCAAACGGTTCGTACTATCATTAGGTAAATACAGTTGGCAAGCCCACACCTAGACGATTGCCATGGCTTTGTCCACACAGTACCTACCTAGGTACTGTGCGCGCTGCGCGCTGGCAGGCATTGTGTCCGCTGGAGTAGTGGTGTCTGTGTTGAATGAAGCATTATGTTGTGTTGTGTCCCTGTCAGCAGCTGTGAGCTGCCGGACGTGGCTATTGAACGGGGAGCGACGGCGGCGAGTCGATGGTAAAGGGGTACTACACAGTTCTACACAATGTATGTCAGCTATAGAGATGTCCGCAGTGATGGACTCGCCTACAATCACACTAAGTTTGTACCACTATTGTGCGGCTGCAGACTGTGCCTGCCTGGTCACGTACTGTTTTGCACATTTTATAATATGCCTACACATGCAGAATATGCTCTAAATGATTTTATAAGTTCATCTGTATTTAATCCCGACCGCCAAAGCGCCTGTTTGAGTCATAACATTTGAGTGCCTGTCTCCTACAGTATGCATGTTGTCTGGCAGGCGCGGGGAGCCCGGTGACCTAGTTTCGTACAGCTTGGGGTCCCACCTGCCCCTACTGCGACCCTCCAAAAAGGGTGGCCCGGTTCAATGACACCTTGTTTGAAGGCCAGTGCACCCGATTACTTATACAAATCTATAATTTTGCAAGTTCAGACAGATTTTAAAAATTATATGTATAAGTTATCTTTACTAGTAATGTGGTGAACATTGTAATCGGAACAACTAGTGATGAATTGATTATGGCACCCACGTTGCATAGACGGCGATCCGTTAGTTAGGTCTTGACAAAATTATAAAGTCAAAAGCATAGATCATAATAAAGCTAAAGCGTATATAGCAACTTTGAGGTTTAGTATACTGGTTACGTGCGATATTATTGTTTGGTTACTACATTAACATAGGCACTGCCGTACTGTATTGATTGGCTTCTAGTCACGGTTCGCAGGAGCTGGCACTGCATCATTCAATGACACACTTCTATAGACAGAGTGGTCTTAACGACGCGAGGAAGCGTAAACGTAAACTGTAACCATTATTAACATTTACAGATTGCATACCTACCTTATACATGAACATAATGGGAATGATGACAGGGTATGAAAATTAAAAATATAATTAGTCCGTAAGTTAGGTAATGAAAAAATATTAGACACGTATTTTTTTTATTTTGTCGTATAATAAAACAATACTTAGATAAAACGAATCAAAGTTTAGGAGTGGGGGCTAAAACGTCATTTCTTAGTATAAAATGTACTGAGAAGTGACGTCACGCGACATTTCAAATCAATATATCTTCGAAACTATTCGTTTCTGTGAGAAAATAAAAAATACGTGTCTAATGTTTTTAAATAATCTATCAGACGGACATTAAAATAAAAAATTGTCGTCTACCCTATTAGTTAAGTATTTATCGAGGCTGTTACGGTGAAAATGCAAGAGGTATTCTGATAAAATAGTAATTACAATTACTTAATCAAAAGGTATTCGTTTCTGGTAGGTAGCGAATCCGTCTGTATCTTGCGAAGAACAAATTAGGTAAGTTTTTGCAATAACTCCTTTAGTTACGAACACCGTGTCAAAGTACTTCGGTCACGGTCCATGAGACAACGGCGCCGTGTCTCTGTGCCCGGTGGAGCACTAGCAATGATGGTGATAGCTAGATAGCTTCATCCACTCGGTCGTAATATCAACACCTTGGATGTTGGATCTAACCAGCGGAGCTTGTTTCTCTCTCTCTTTGATTCTAGGAATAATGTTATGCCTATCCTACCTAAAGTAGCATTATTTCTCTCATTACTGCTTACAACTTTGCCCACGTGTCTCTGAAGTAAATCCTGATTACATAAAAAACATATATTATAAAGATATTAGATATTAACTTTAAAATTAGGTTATGAAGAAGTATGTGTACCTGTTTATTATACTAGAAGAGACCACTTTAAATATTTCCCACTAATAATGTGGAGAATATTGTTAGTGAAAGGTTGTCCCTGATGAAACAACGACAACTGATTGACTGAACGTGTAACAGACAGAAACCTTGCTGCAGTGCTCCTTGATAAACTGTGATCATCAAATGTTTAATATGTTAGTAAAGTAGTAGCTTCAAATACATATGTTCCAGCATTTACTCAGCTCGTCACTTTAGTTGTTCCACGATACAAAATTGATGGGATCTCTTCTCCTACCTACCTACCTGATGGATAACGTGGGATGGCGTTTATTGCCAATACATTATAGAGATTGATACGAGCACATACATTATGTACCACCACGGGCAGGTGGTGTACCTAGATGTGAGCTACCATTTGTAAGTAACGCGCTGATTGATACATAGATGCGGTGTGTTGCGCGCACACGACGTGATTCATATCAATCGTCATTGTCCTACAACTTCTACACCTGCGCGCGCGGTGAGCTGAACGCAGTGCTATACTATAATATGATATTTTACGAACAATTATTATTAAAACATTAAGAAAACAGTTTGGTATAATCAAGCAACTGTAAAATAATCGTAATGTAACTACGTGCTCAAAAATTTTGAGATTATCTTCCAGTGTGACCTACCTGACGGCCAGCGAGCCAGTGGCAAGCTGTGTACCGGCTACCGCTACTGTTAAGTACTATGAAAATAAGACCGCACCGCGCACTACCGCAGCCCGCTATGTCTATTATTGCAATTTTGTTTTTTGTATTAGTCGATAGTCAGTCTATATTGTTGTTTTATTTCTTTGCGCTATACGGTCATGAATCAGGCACTGGCAGACAGACTACCAGGCAGCATATTAATTAATTTTATAAATAATACAATTCATTATTTATAAGGAAAATTAATGATTAACTGAAAACTTTGCCTTCAAGTTTTAAATTAATAATAGCGTTTGTCAACCGCCGCTGTCGTCGCGCCCTTTTTTTTTTTTTTTTTTTTTTTTAAGGGGGGAAAATCATCGAATGACTGCTCCCGCCTGGGTGAGGCGGAAGGGAGTGTCAGACTCTTACTGACTAAAAACCACCCCGTTCCTTCTCCTGCACGTCGAGCCGGAGCCCCGGTTACCCGTTAGGTTCTCCGCGACTCCGAATCGGCATCGGCCCTATTGGGCCCCATCTGTGGTGGTCTGATGGCTCTTTGAGGCGCGCGCGGAACGCGACGCGCCGTACGCTCGGGTCTGTTTCTGGTCGGACGGGGAGCCACCCATGCTCGCCGTCCGCAGGCTCGCGCTTACGGTGGCCGGAGATCGTCCCGCGATCCCCGCCGCCCGGTGTGTCCTTCGCGATGGCTGGGTCGCGAGGAGGCAGCGCTTCGCTGCCTCACGCGTCCCGCCTCCTCCTTAGCTAGCATGACTGCTTCGCAAAAGGAGGAGACGGCATCCCAGTCCCCCTCGCTCCGCATCATGGCCTGCACTAGGCCCGGACGCGAGAGGTCGCCATCGCCGATCACTTCCCTGAGGGCACGGCGGTGCTCAGCCCACGCAGGGCATTCCGCTACGGTGTGTTCCACCGTGTCCTCAGGGCGGGTCGTCGCGCCCTAACGATTGAAGTCAATGTGAAATGTCTACATTTTATACCAAAGTATCTAGATGTACCTTTATATTTTGTACTCAAGTCGGTATACAAACACGGCGAGACCCAAACTGCTGCACCTCCCTGTTACGTCATACATACTTCAATGACGGTAACTTAGTTCTACTTAAAACAAACAAGTTAGGTACACGGATCTTTAAACACAAGTACCCAGGTATTGCAACATCGTAAACCCGAGCTTATCGTTATCAGTATGGACGCAAGAGCTTCATTCACACGTACATACCTACAGGTACTGTGTGAGATAGAGTGGTAGTAGGGTGCGCTCGGTACGAAAGCCCGCGGCGCACAGACTCGTCCTGATAAGATAGCAGTGTCAACACCAGCACTCCACTCAACCGCCAGTCAGTGTCACCGAGTAGGTATAAAGCTGTATCTTTTTGTTAAGTAACTAGTAGTAACCGCGACACCGGTACAACCTGCGAGTGTAAGTGTATGCAGATACACTTCGGTGTAAGTTTACCTGATTACCTCATCACTTCTGAACATATTGCGCCTCTTGAATTACTAACAAGTATTACCTACTCTACTGTCTACTAAGCTCGAGCTTGTGGCAAGTGGCAACTAAACCAACAGAGCGCATTTGTTAGATCTATACCTCACTTAAATAATTCAGGAACATATTTCATACAATAATTGTGTGAAATATAATAAATACATCAAGTACAAAGTAGCGGCGGCTATACAGGAACCGAGCCATCACCGAGTGTCATCTTACAAACATCTTACGACGCTGTGGACGTACACACTACACACACATACAATATACACATTCGGTTCCTCCAACCTGCAGGTTCCCTGTAATATTGTAAAGAATTCATTATGTTCATTTATTTGTCAGTTAGCCGATCCCTACGTTCTACTAATAGCTATTCTTCTGAATATTTTGCTCGTTCAGTGGTTTCAAAGATTGTTAGATTAGAGAAACTATTTGGTTTAGTTTCGCAATTCCATGTTACTTACGTTACATCAAAGCAATGGTTTAGCTACAATAAAGGTCAGTTATACAGACATCATTTCTCCGAAAGCAAAGCAAAATGTTTAACAATCTGTTTGATTGCTCGCTGCCCGCTGGCCACTCCCTAGCGGACGCGACTGACACCCTGTCAGCTACGAGTAGACGCGTAATCATTGTCAATCTTTAATTATTTTTATGTTATTCTTTTTATCTATTATTTGATAATCAACGGCCTTTGACTTGTTTTAAAGTAATTGAAATGGTGAAATTATCCTGGGTGGCGGCCGTTACCGGCTCGAAAAGACGCGACTAGGTGGTGCCTCGCAAAATATAGAAAACTTATTGAAATGCCAGCAAAATGTATCTGCTATCGAAATAATTTTCAAATCGTTTTCTTATACGTTTCAAGGTGAATAATATTTTTGGTTTACGACAGTCTAACGGCAACAGTTTATTGATCTTTTTATAGGACGATGAGTGGCGAGTGGTTTATAGTCCAGTCCTTGAGGCAGCATTATCTGAAATCGTCGAAACACTTCGTCTAGCCACTTTACATTGTCATAAATCGTAAGCACATAAAAAGTTTAAAGGTGTTATGTTATACTTACATACATGTGTAGCTATATCTAAAGTATTGGAACATTCGAGACCAATGCTATGTGCACTACAGATTATCAACATTACGGATTTCGAAAAAAATTAAAAGGAATATGATTAATGAGTTGGCAGTACTCGGATCTTACAACATTTCCTCCATCATGTTTCGCAATGTTCAAAGGAAATAATTGTAAACTCTTAAACCGTTAGCAGAACATCTGAAACAATAACCGCCCGAGCAGCGGCCGCGGCGTCATCTTCCACAATACTATTGATTTATTGAACTATATCTCTGAGCATGTTTATGCGCTCGTTAGAACACTGTTTACTATAACATTAGCAAACATTCGTGTAATATTTAACTCTGACGATTTCACAAAGATCTTTGTAGAGGTAAACATTCTACTATAAGTGTAACTGTGTATAATACAATCTCGCGGTGTTTTCTCGTTCGCTTTACGTGATCAGTTACAATTTGTGCGGGAGTTCATTGAAGGCCGTGTTTTTGTCGTCGATTGCTCAACACTGTCTCATTGGTCTCGCATCGATTCTCACGACGGCGACATTTATTACCTATTTATTTATTTTCCTGTTTATCTACTTTGGTTACATCTATTCATTTCTCTTCTAGGTTTTGCGAAATATCTAATAGTTAGCACCAGATTGGTTAATTCCTAGTAGGGCTTTGTATCGTCGAGTTAAAGTGGAAATTGATTTATATTGATGTCACAAACAAGGGGCGATGTGTCTCAGAAAATATGTCAGTGAGCTAGTGGCCGCTGTACGTGCCTGGACTCGTCGGAACCTCACAGGCTTACTCTACTTTCCTGCGACCTGATTACTTATGATGTGACATCAATAACCTTCCGAAATATTATTATTATGTTTCCCAACAACCGTGAAAAATACGTGCGTCAAGAGGAAACTTGAAATATAGGTTGAAGATAACCTAACACCTTTCTCTAATTTCATTCAATACAGAGAATGTCCTTTACATACTCCTCTAATTTATGTTACATGTACTGTTTATAATATAATTAGTGTACGCGAGCAGTAGAGAGTGCTCCCAGGTCGCGGCCGCGGGTACAGGAGACATCGGCGCGGCGTACTAATCGTGCAGCCGAGTGATTGCCAATGTTGGCATGCGTTCACTACGACGGCTAGCTGGACGCGAACGTGCAGCGCATCCTAATCACTGGTTACTGCAACTACCCACTGCACAATGCAAGACGCAGAAGGCCCACTGCTCAAACCTAGCTGGTTCCAAAGATCTAACCACTGAAATTGGAAATCGAATGTAATATTTTGAACCTATCCCAATTTTTAACAAAATACAGTTTTCAATCTATGTTCCAAATTACCTTCCAAGTGTCCAGACAGTCCAGTCCATAGCAATCTAGCTTTGTTGGAACTTCTCACGTTGTGTTTGTTGTCGGCCAGTGTTGCCGTAGGACATGACAGTATGCTCGAAAGTATCAAGTAATGCAGCCATTTGTACAACACACAGCCTTTATTTGCCACATTTATACGCTAAACGAAATGATACTTACCCAGACAATAGAAGTCACCACTAGTTTGTACGTATGCAGTCAACGCGGAACATGATTTCATTCTGCACTTGGATATAGGATTGCCATATTGTCACTCTTGACATCATTCTGAACTAAAAGTTATTTTGGTAACTTTCGTTCGATAGGCCGCGTGCCTATCAAATATCACAAAAAAAACAAATAAGTGTACCATTTTTCGGACTAGAGACGGTTTTAGATTAACATATTCTTCTGCAAGTGTTACCTACGATAGTATCGGCATACGCGATTAAGTACATACACGTGTGCAACTTTACGCACTTCAAATAACCAGACTCACTGATACGGGCATATTTCGACGTGTTCGCTCGAATTGATAGGGGTGTAGTTTGAGCTTATAAGCGCTTCAGCTCATACGAATTGTGCGTGTGCCAAAAGGTTGCGCCTTGACGCGCCGGCGTCTGCTTCGCAAGTTGTCAACCCTGAAGAAATGTGTATGTTATGTTGCAGCGTGTGCAGGGTGCTGCGCGAGCGATGGTATGGTGTCACGCAGGCGCGCGCGACGCCCGTGGCTGTGGCTGGCGGCCGCCGCGGTAGCACTGGTGCCGCTGCTGGCCACCGCCATCGCCGCTGACGTCATCTTTAGGGTGCCCGAAGTACTGGTGAACCAAGTTCTATTACATCCTATTATACGATAGGAAACAAAGTGCAGAATGTGATACCTAGTGTACACAGTACAGACGTACGCCCCAAAGAATGTTTAGTAGATGCTCTCCGTGGTGGTGCAGGTGCGGCACGCGGCAGCGTCCAAGCCGGTGGGCACGGGGCGCGCCAACGGGTCCCGCGGCAACGAGTCGGAGCGCTGGGCGGGCGCCGGCGCCGACGACGCGCTGCTGGAGGTGCGCTACGAGGAGTACTTCGTGGAGCACGACGTGTCCACCGCCGCCGCGCGCCGCGCCGCCGCCGACCTTAACGTCGAAGACAGTACGTACCATATTATACTAACACAAGTTCCCAGCTACTGCGACGTACATTTAGGTTTGGTCAAATATGTTAATAAATCCCATGAAGGCGAGTCCATAGTCTTTATGCTACGAGAATTTTTGAATATCGAATATCTCAACTATTCTTTGCATACCTAGAAAGCGAACTTGCTACACCTTAGCGACCGCTTTGAGCAAAGAATGGTTTCCATTAATATTTCTTGAAAATAAAGATAACGTTATATTATTCATGTACTATGACAATAATCCGGGATCTAAATTCTAAATGAATCGTCGCCATTCTAACACAAACCGAGCGAAGTAAGTGACGCAACCACAATTGCTTGAGTTACTCCAATTAATCGGTAGTCAGCAGTCAGCTCACAAATTAGAACAATAGTCAAGGACGCGGGATTAACAACGTGAGCCGTGAGCCGAGGGCCACAGGTCACTACTGCCACGGACACAGATCATTATTTGTTTATCGAAATAATAAAACAAAAATTTTGACCACCACCAGTTGATTTTTGCGTGATAAAGAGATGACGTAACATCATTTAGGACTACTAGGTATAGGATTAGTAGGGAGTAGTACAAGATGCAGTTAATGAAAATGATCACGCACTCATCAGGCTAACACCAGATATACCTAATCTACGACTCTAGACTAGCGACGACTCGCGGGTCGCGGGTAATACTCGGCCATAAGTCAGCAAGCTTTATTGACTTTACTATTTATAAATATGTGCTATAACTTCTTTCAATTGATCTGTTTTATTCTTTTTATTTATCGGTTGTGTTTATCAACGATATACATGTCGCATTCTTTACACGTATTTTCTTCTGGCTCTTCTCTTACGAAGTTACGACAATCCGCTTAAAAATATAAAAATATGTTTATTGACAAAAAGCTTCACATTACATATTTATATGGCACTGGACTGGATTCCCTGTGTCGTGGTCGTGAAGCCCAGTCTTTCAGTCAGCAAAACATTATTATATAATACAAATGAAAACCTTGTTTAAAATGGAATGAAAAGATAAAAACAATTTGTGCGCGACTCCTTCATTTGCCTTCGTTATGATTACACTTCATTGCGTATTGTGTCCATAGTTCATTCGGTTTCGGTGTGTTCGCTTTACGCGGACACGACTGCAAGCTTGCGTCCGACATGTAAGAATAAGAACACAGTACACAATGCTTGTATGTGGAGTTTGCTCGAGGCGCCAACAAAACGCGGTAGTATTACAGTGGCGATGGTGCGGTCATTGGAAGAAGATCCCTCATTATCACGACACGACATGTGACACGCCGGGCGCGGCCACGCTGCCAATACACACGGTATTTGTTATGTTGATAAGTCTTATAAATTCCTTTGTAAAAAAGGTCTTAAAATGTTTTATTAAAGGGTAAATTTTAAAAAACTTGCGGCGTTCCGCAAAGTTTTCCGATAAACGATTGAACCCCATATAGTACGCGTGCCAAATTGACTTATTGGACGAATTAAACCTAGAGCTCTCTGCTTTATGATTGTTTCTCCCGTGCTAACACTCGAACGCTGTAATCGTAAATTTCTCATAAGTTGGAAGATGTTAATTTGAGTCTGTCAATAATTATACATTGTCACACGTACAGTCTTACAAGCTACAATCATTAAATGGGGGAAAGATTTACTTGGCTTTTAAAAATGTCCAGTTGTCAAAGTAAGCGCGGTGTCCGTGCGTCCAGTCGCCAGTAATGTGCGGTGTCCGTGTGTCCAGTCGCCAGTAATGTGCGGTGTCCGTGTGTCCAGTCGCCAGTAATGTGCGGTGTCCGTGCGTCCAGTCGCCAGTAATGTGCGGTGTCCGTGCGTCCAGTAGCCAGTAATGTGCGGTGTCCGTGCGTCCAGTCGCCAGTAATGTGCGGTGTCCGTGTGTCCAGTAGCCAGTAATGTGCGGTGTCCGTGTGTCCAGTAGCCAGTAATGTGCGGTGTCCGTGCGTCCAGTCGCCAGTAATGTGCGGTGTCCGTGTGTCCAGTCGCCAGTAATGTGCGGTGTCCGTGCGTCCAGTCGCCAGTAATGTGCGGTGTCCGTGTGTCCAGTCGCCAGTAATGTGCGGTGTCCGTGCGTCCAGTCGCCAGTAATGTGCGGTGTCCGTGCGTCCAGTCGCCAGTAATGTGCGGTGTCCGTGCGTCCAGTCGCCAGTAATGTGCGGTGTCCGTGTGTCCAGTCGCCAGTAATGTGCGGTGTCCGTGCGTCCAGTAGCCAGTAATGTGCGGTGTCCGTGCGTCCAGTCGCCAGTAATGTGCGGTGTCCGTGCGTCCAGTCGCCAGTAATGTGCCGATGTGCGGTGTCCGTGTTTCCAGCCGCCAGTAATGTGCGGTGTCCGTGTGTCCAGTCGCCAGTAATGCGCGTTGTCCGTGTGTCGAGTTGCCACGTAATTGCACTGCAGTTACACGACAATTACTTAACAATTACAGGCTGATCTCGTGCTTCAGATGTTATCACAATACAGACATTGATACTGAGACATTACTGGAGCTGTAGTTATTAAACACATTTACTGATTCAGAGTGACACCTCACAGAACATTGTTAAAATAACGACAAATCCTTTAGGTACACAGACTGCTCACGTTGGTTCCCTGGTTAACTTTAACCATTGTATGGCCGTTTTACGAATGCGCGGATTAAGTTCCACTCAGAAAATTTTATTGGTGTATGGCAGAGGTTCAGTAATGTGAAATTATTATTATTTATTTATTTCTGTAAATATGAGCTTTAAAACAGCAGCACGCGTCCATATCTCGATATTAACTCGTCGAGTACCGGTTTAAACACAAACTTGATGATTTTATAGACACAATTAAAGAACAATAGGTCGCGGTCACCGGTGACCGCTTGGTGTTTGACAGTTTAAACTAGGTGAGTAAATCAGAAACTAACTCCAAAGACCATAGTGGCGTTTAAAGTTTTAAAATCATCAAGTTTGTGTTTTCCATGTAGTCGGTGAAAAACAAAGTAAAACCTCAACAACATGTTACATGTACATATACTCACACTGGAATGTAATGTACAAGTTAATTCATGTAATTATAAGGCAATCCTTCGTCCCCATACATTACGCGCTGCAAGTGCACATTATGCTAGGATGGAAGGTCAGTGGGCGTGTAACGAGGGAGCCCGCGAGGCCCGGGGGCGGCCGCCCGGTCTGTCGCAGCATTGTCCAGCGGTGTCAATGTCAATGCGGCCGTGTGACATTACTATGGTGGCGTACTAAATTATATTATGGAAGTAATCATGGAAACATACACGTCCGCACCACACCAATGTCCGCGTGCACCGCTCAAACCAGCCCTAACGATCTATTGGCAATACTGCGCGGTCTCATATCTTATAGAGTATACTAACCTAATTAGATATTAGAATTTTCAACCGATTAGGAATCGAGAACGAAGATTGAGTGCCGCGCGCCGTCGTGCCGGCCACTGGTCGCATCACGTAAGCCAAGCGTCTGGTGTAACCTTCAATCCAGGGCCGTGACTATTGAGCCGTTGCACTTTTGTGTTATTTCAATAAACTGGAAAATCGACTCCTACTCAATCTTTTGTTCGGAAACTTAATTTGATTGAAAATTAAGAAAACATACTTGGACAATAGTTTGAGTGGTATAGTAATAGTTGTATGAGTACCGTAAGCGCTAAAGCTTTGATGAATATTATAATTAGCGTGTTCCGATGTAATTGCTCGCTAGTAACGATGCAGCAATCTCAGTGTGGTTCCCTCGGCGCGGCGCGGGCGTGGCTCGGCAATCGATACCGGAGCGCGCGGCCTGCACATGCGCCAGCATCATCTAACACGGTACACCGCGATGCTGCACAGATCATTTGCTGGTTGCTACTGAGATCGTAAACACAGCAGTGTTGGATGTACCGGTGTGTCACATAACACGAAGTATCCACAACTGTATTGTAACATAACCAACCATTGTAACTTACCAACAATACATACGACGTGCTGATATTGTATATGTAGCACAGATAGATGTCCTGTCGCCTCGCGGGTGTGACCCCACCATCACTACAAGTTAGGATCGTATTGGCGCATTTAAGCTCAGTGGCACGTGCTCGCGTGCGGGTACTGCTAGTGGTACACCCAGCTCGGTGTCGCGGTGTCTGATGTTCCCTTACTTCGGTGTCGGTCTAATGTTGTTCCTGCTTAGTTTCCTAGACCTAGACCTTTTTATCTTTATTGATTGGAAAAAGGCGTAGGTACATCGTTAAATGACTAGCTTTACACCCATTTTGAAAGAGCTATTTTAAGCTGATTCGTGAGACGCTATTCCGGACAAAAGCCAAAAATATTGTTAGATTATGCACTAATTACAATTCTACCATCGCATCAGTCCGACCGATAGCGACCTCAAATGTAGTAAACGTAAAATGTACCTAGACCACATAGCTCCTTGCTGAGGCGCTGCGCTGTGTGTATCCGGCCTTAACTGGGTGCTATTGTTCTGTGACGTAAGTTTTGCATTGATCGTGTGTCATCCTCGAATAATAACTAGCCTGGCAATGACTCGTACGGTCCGTACAGCCGCACTCAATGACATCGGACACTGCCGCTGTAACCAATACGTGATGTGACCTTCACACTGAGCTACTGAACAACTCCACAACATTTCTATCCAACATATGCCATGTTGGTGACGTGGGGCATAGTTTTCCATGCAAGTTTCATCAAAACGAAAGTATAATGTGTGCGCAGTCCCCCCGACGCGGCCGGGCTGCGGCACGTGCAGCGAGCGCGAGTACGCGTACTGCGAGACGCGCGTGCTGGCCGACCACTGCTGCTGCGAGCGCCGCTTCGTGCGCGAGCCCTTCCCCTGGCTGCCCCACACCTGCTACGTGGGCGCGCGCCGCTGTCGCCCGCTGGCGCACGACTGCGCGCAGTACGCGCGCCTGCGGGACTGCTGCTGCCATCGCAAGCTGGCCGAGCGATGTAAGCACGCCACGCCCAGCGCCCCCAGTGCGTCGTCTGCGTACTGGGGGTGGCAGTACATTATACTAGTTTTATTAGTTAATGTACACTAATCAATACGTGACATTTGCAGGGAAGAGCATCCTGTCGGAGTCGAGTCGCGCGGGAGTGAGCGGACTGTGCCTGCTAGTGGTGGGTGCGCTGTTGGTGGTGGCGAGGCTGTGACGTCAGCTGGCGCCGCGCCCGGGGCCCGCCGCGCCCGCCTTGGTCTGACCGCTCGGCTGTGACGTCAGCTGGCGCCGCGCCCGGAGCCCGCCGCGCCCGCCTTGGTCTGACCGCGCGGCTGTGACGTCAGCTGGCGCCGCGCCCGGAGCCCGCCGCGCCCGCCTTGGTCTGACCGCTCGGCTGTGACGTCAGCTGGCGCCGCGCCCGGAGCCCGCCGCGCCCGCCTTGGTCTGACCGCGCGGCTGTGACGTCAGCTGGCGCCGCGCCCGGAGCCCGCCGCGCCCGCCTTGGTCTGACCGCGCGGCTGTGACGTCAGCTGGCGCCGCGCCCAGAGCCCGCCGCGCCCGCCTTGGTCTGACCGCGCGGCTGTGACGTCAGCTGGCGCCGCGCCCGGAGCCCGCCGCGCCCGCCTTGGTCTGACCGCGCGGCTGTGACGTCAGCTGGCGCCGCGCCCGGAGCCCGCCGCGCCCGCCTTGGTCTGACCGCGCGGCTGTGACGTCAGCTGGCGCCGCGCCCGGAGCCCGCCGCGCCCGCCTTGGTCTGACCGCGCGGCTGTGACGTCAGCTGGCGCCGCGCCCGGAGCCCGCCGCGCCCGCCTTGGTCTGACCGCGCGGCTGTGACGTCAGCTGGCGCCGCGCCCGGAGCCCGCCGCGCCCGCCTTGGTCTGACCGCGCGGCTGTGACGTCAGCTGGCGCCGCGCCCGGAGCCCGCCGCGCCCGCCTTGGTCTGACCGCGCGGCTGTGACGTCAGCTGGCGCCGCGCCCGGAGCCCGCCGCGCCCGCCTTGGTCTGACCGCGCGGCTGTGACGTCAGCTGGCGCCGCGCCCGGAGCCCGCCGCGCCCGCCTTGGTCTGACCGCGCGGCTGTGACGTCAGCTGGCGCCGCGCCCGGAGCCCGCCGCGCCCGCCTTGGTCTGACCGCGCGGCTGTGACGTCAGCTGGCGCCGCGCCCGGAGCCCGCCGCGCACTGTATATAATGTCCTATCTACCTATATGTAAAACGTAAAGTATTTATTTAATTATGAAAGTCTAAATTAATAATTATGTAAATATTTATTTCAATATGCTGCATACTTAGAAGTTAACAAAGATCGAGTACCTACTCCCGACTCTGTATAGAATACAAGGTTAGGTATATGCATAATGTAATGCTGTTCCGGCTGTTTTCACCAACGACCACTAAACCATCTTAACTAATACCGACTTATCGCGACGTAACACCTAAACTAACTCCTTGTCGCGGAGAACCTAACGGGTCACCGGGGCTCCGGCTTGAAGTGTAGGAGTAGAAACGGAGTGGTTTTAGTCAGTAAGAGTCTGACACTCCCTCCCACCCAGGGGCGTGCACAGAGATTTGAAGTAGGGTAGGCAGAAGGTATCATATGATTAAAAATAAATTTGGTGTAGGTACATTAATCTCGGAAAATAAAACTCCCGAAACATCATAGTTTTGAGTAGGTAATTAGGTTTAGTAAGTATTTTATTAATTTGTATGGACAAATTAGGTACATAATTATTTTAAAACTATCCGTGTATAAAGTTGATCAACATAGATCTATTGGTATCTATTTTATAAATCTATTAACTAGGTACCTATTTTGGAGCGGCGAAGTACAAATGGCTACACATCAAGCTATGCGACACCAGTATAACTGACCGTTAAATGCATAGAGAAATCGTACAAAGCGAGATCAAGATAGACTGGATGTTAAAAACAATAATTAAATTGGTACACAACCACTAACCAGTGCTAACAAACTATACCTATAATCGCAAATCGTAGTTTATTAAAAGAAATAATGAAATTATTACCTTTTTTGAGTTACGCCTATCCCGGACATACGACACACGCAAAATCGCCTTTGGAAATATTTTCGTTTCTTCTTCAAACGAGAATAACGACAACACACTCATATTGAATTTATTGAACAACACAAATCACCAGCACAGAGCTCACAGCTTAATTTTACATATTTTTCGGTAAATTAACAGTAAATTTAAATTATAATTCATTACATTACAATTTATTCACTTGCACATAAAAACATAACCAAAACAAAATGGCCAAAAAAACGTAAACAATAAGTTGACCAAAATTAATATATCTATTTTCAATCAAAAAACGCTACGTTTTGTTGACTTCTTAAATTAGTCGGATAACGAAGAAGCAGTGCTTTTGCAGTTGTATAGAAATTACCAACCTAACAAAAAAAAAATCCAACATCAGCACGAGAAAACAAGCAAATTGTACCGGCTAGCATTAGTACATGCTTCCGCCACCATCACACAATAGCGAGGTGGCGGCGCCACTGGCGCAATGCTCCAATATCGAAGAAAGTAGAAAGTGGTTGTAGTACTTCAATATTTTTTCAATAGATGGCGTTAATTACAAGTTTTCCGAATTAAGTATCAATAAAATTACGAAATCTCTGTATGATGTCAGCAAATATTCATGTCGTGTATATGAGTGACACTATGTAATTGACTATGTAGGTTTACCATGATTTTGTAGGGTATGCAGTGCTTATTTGCATGTATGGTGTGCACGCCACTGCTCCCACCTCACCCGGGCGGGAGAAGTAATTGTGTCACCAAATAAAAACCAAAATACCTTTAAATGTCTCCCACCTTAGCTTAGGGGTTCCTTAAAATTTAGAAGAGGCTGGTGAGGAGAGACATTAGTGTGACTAGTAGCGTTGATCGTATGGGATAGGGTTATACTGTACGGGACAACGTAATAACTTTTACCGTTCAAGAGAGGACATACACATAATATGTAGCACTGTGAAGCAAACAGTGCCAGCCCGTGTAACTATTTATGTGAACCCCTTTTCTGAAATATTCACAAGAAATGAATATATGTATATAATACACTTTTTGCGACCCCACGGTACTTGTATATAGTCTGAATCGACGTCATTTCTTACTTTGTATAAATTGAATGTACAGACACTCCCAACACAATGTATGTGCTAATGATAGATGATTTGATGTAAATGCATAGTTGTAGCAAATTTACAGAGCTTCTCATGTTTGTTTAGAACAAATATTGTACAGTTCATTGTAATACATAGTTACGTAGATGTAATTTTACAAAAATATTTAATATTTTTGACACAACAGAAATCTCTGATGTAAATAGTTCGATTACATATTGTGTAGTATCTCAGTCTATTTATGTTTAGAATAGAATACGTATCGCACAGTGCGACTTGTATGTGTCTCCAGACTCCAGCCCCGCTAGACGAATGGCTCGATTATCATTAACAACATGTCCTAACAAAATGTCCGTCAGTCCATCACATACATTCAAAGTTTGTATTCCATTCAACTGGTGTTTGGCTTGATACAATTTGTCTAGTGGAGTTGAACAACGATTGCATCAGTAAGAACGCTGTTGTAACTAGTTAATTAAGTTAATTTTAATGATTGAATGTACGTCTGTCTGTCGTGTGTTTACAAAGTTTTGAGAAAACTAAGTTAGCTGTAGTCGTGGCCTGACGATTTAAAATCGTGACCTGGTCAGCGACTTGTACTGAAGTTACATTAGATGTAAGTAATGACATGGCTACAGAGTAAGCTAACGTTGTATGGAGATGGATCTGCAAGACAGGAACACTGAGTTGACGTCAACTATGTCACACAAATTAATGTGTGGATATTATAATGAATGTCATAATATAGTCAACTTGGTTAAGTGAGGGTGCTATCCTTAGTTAGAGCTGTACTGAAGTGAAGCCTGGCCTCGCGGGGCACGCGGACAGCCACAGGCTCTGCACTACTTGTTGTTGTATTCAATGTTAACATTTATTTTCTATGTAATGTTATTAATGAAAGCCTAAATTTATTTGAGCTAGTGAGCGTTTGACCGTATACAATACAATAATTGTAATTTCTCTAGGAGGTATGCAACCATTACGTTGTAGTGTGGCGCGTGGTAACATGATTGTGTGATATACCTGTATGTATAGTTAGTTACAGTTGTATCTACAGACATCTAATGACAACATGTACATAATTATGTAATTTTCTTATTCTCTCGCCATTTGAATTATCTGTTACAATATATTTTACAGGCAATGAGTTACTACGTTGATATATACCTATCTATATAAGTAGATCATGTAAAAGTTAATCATTTAAGTAACTGATGCGAATGAAATAAACGTTACCAAAGCATTCGTGTGTTTATTTCCAATCCAAGCGCCGAGTATATGTATATGCATACTAGCTTTTGCGAGGGCCTTCGCTCGCGTTCACGTGAAGTATAAAGTTGATTCTGTGGTTGACCATGTTCCAAATTTAATCTCGATCCCGTCAGCCATCTTGACGTGAAAGAGTAACAAACCAACACACACTTATAATATCAGTAGGAACATGTAGGTACATACCTCTACCTACCCACTATAGAGCTGTAGCAGCACGTATGTTGCACGACTCTCGTAGCACCACGCGTAGCGGCGTAGCGGCGTAGTAGTATGAGTAGTACGTCTGCTACAAAGCTATTACTTTTTTCAAAAGTCAAAAATGTCATAATCATTTATTTCAATTAGACCAGAAAGCACTTCTGAACGTCAACAAAAAATAAAAATAAAAGTGAAGGTCATTCCAAGGTGTAGATTCCTATGGAGAAGAACGAGCAAACTCCATACTTTATTTTACTTTTACTTTAGGTTACTCTTTTTCAATCAGGTTCACAATACAATTCTCTAGTTACATAGTTTTGTTGTTTGGATTATGCGAGAACAATGTAACACTAAAATTCAGTCAAAGAGATTTAAAAAGAAAATAACCTTAAGAACACTAAATAATACAGTTTGGAGCTGACCAGTCCCAGTTGACGGCGCCCGTTCACGAACATGACATACGTGTCATGTACGGCGGTGCTGGTGTACGCACCAGCACCGCCCAACTCAACCATATTGTAAGGAATCGAGCGATCCACTGCACGCGGTGGCGCGTGCAGTGGATCGCCAATGAAACCTTTGAGTGAGCATGGCAACTCCAAGCTGACACAAATGTATTCTACTAGTCTAATTTACTATTAAGATAATTACAGGGCTCCCACATTTACAATGGTTATCTAAGATAAACAATATACAATTTAGCAATATGGCTGTATTATTTACGCGTTTGGATTTCATTAAAACATCAATGTTTTTCGTTATCCTGTGGAGCCGGACTAGCTTGCATCCAAGCATTTTTATCCTCTATATAATCATTAAGTTTGTAATATGCTTGTCTACATAAAGTTTTCTTCACTACATAATATAAAACAAAGTCACTATCCGCCGTCTGTCTGTCCCTATGTATGCTTAGATCTTTAAAACTACGCAACGGATTTTAATGTTTTTTTTTTGAATAGATAGAGTGACTCTTAAGGAAGGTTTATACATGTATAATACATGCATATTGCATCCGTGCGTAGCCGGGGCGGGTCGCTAGTTATACCTACATAATTTAAATTTTGATTCATTTAGGTGTTGTACATCGCCTGGTATCTTATTATAACATTAAACACAGAATCCTATGAACGTCTTACTCACTTTCACCAATCTCAATATTGGCTGACTTAATCTATTCTTATGTCTAGTTTGATAGTGGTGTCTGTCCGACACTTTACCAAATAACTGGAGGTTTTTCCTAACACACATGATGTTTTCTTACTATTCAATAATATGTCACATTCGTTGCTTTTAACATAATTGGCAAAACAAATCTAATACATTTTGTACTAAGTACATTTATCGTTTAGTACTAAGTTATTTAATGTAAACCAATTTTGAACCATCATTAGAGCATTATTTACGTCGTCATCATTATTTGTGCGTCTATTTATTTTAAAAACCAATGGAGTGTCGTCAGTAAATAATACCATCTACGGTTCATTTTTAAATAAATGGGGCAAGTCATTTATGTACGCTAAAAATAAGAATAGTATCGAGCCCTGCGGTACACCCATAGATATGCTAGCACCCTGTGAATTTACTTTATTTACTCGTACTTTAAGTTGCCTATCCTGAAGGTATGATTTCAACAGATTTAGCGACGTCGTAGTGTTCAAGCTTCAGCAATAGTGTCTCATGTTCAACACAGTCGAATGCTTCGAAAGATCACAAAATATTCCGATGGCATCCCGTACTTCTTCCCAATACGCGAAAACCCGCTTAATTAGAGCAATCCCGCGTCAGTAGGGCAGCGACCTTTGGTGAATCCGTATTGTTGATCATGAAAGATAGAATTTCATGTTAAAGTGACGCAAAATCTGCATCAACAAACACTTAGCTGAGCTCTAATAAAATAGAGACCGGCCTATAGTTATAGGGTTCTGCGCTACCATCAAATTTAAAGAATGGAATTACTTTACAATGTTTTATTAAATTCGGGAAAACTCCGTGATCCACACTTTTATTAAAAATGAAAGCTAAATGAGGCGCTATAGTTTCTATAAAAGACTTACACACCCTAACAGACATTCCCCAGAGATCTTCAGAAGACTTAACATTGATATCTTTGGACGCTTACTTTACTGCATGGGGGTTTGTGTATTAAAATCGAAAAAAATAAAATAAATAAACATTAATTTTTCAAATTCAAAACTCATTACCTCATATGTATATATATATACACAATACACATAATACATGTTTATATAAAACTATAAACTTATATTAATGTGAAATTTTAATGGGTTTTCATGTATTTTAATATAGGTATGACAGTGTAATTAAGTAATTAAACGTTTAATAATTCAACCGCAGCCGGTCACAAATAGTCACAACGAGAAGTAGTCACGAAGGTGTTCCACGTTCTGTGCTTACAGTACTTAGTGTAAGTCACACAAACTGGACTCCACGTGTCATACATGAGCTACATAATATACTTCAATATTGACGTAACACTACTGCTGACGTAAGTATTGCAGCACACGCGATGCGTACTGTGGACCCGGAGCTGTGGGCCCGCCGCCTGCACCGGCCGGGGCTGCTGACGTCACGGCTCCGGGCGGGGATGGTGACGTCACAGCTCCAGCTGGGACTGGAGCGCACCCTGCGCGCCAGCATGAAGGACGCCGCCGCCGAGTACTGGCACCACTGCTCCATTGGGTTCGTCAAGTACATGAAACATGACGATTTCAATAATAAACATAAGAAGTAAGTTGTACTGGCTGCTACTTATTGTTAGTCCCACGAAGTTGACGATTGTTGTAAAACTGAATAGCTTCGGATCGCAACACCATCCTCTCAGTGAGCACATCCAGGTGATAGTATAACGCGGCGGTGGCAGGTGGCGCAACTTTTTGTTGGTGATGCTGACGTTCGCGATGGGCTGCGCGGCGCTAGTGGATGGCACGCTGCAGTACCAGTCGCAGCCGCCGCTGTACGTGCAGAAGTACGCCGCGTCAGTGGCGCACGCTCCGTTCCCGGCGGTCGCCATCTGCAGCAACAAGGTCATCAGCAAAGCGGCGCTGCGGAATCTCACCCGACACCTGTACACGTACGCAGCTTCGTCTGTTCTGACAGCACTCACATTACTTTCATTTTCCACTGCATTCCCTCTCGTGGATTGCGCTTTAATCGATTTACTAATACTTTAAGTAGAGGTATTTACATTGGATACATAAAGTTTGAATACTTCGATAAGTAAACTGTGTCACTTTCACTGAGTGTTACTTAAAATAAAGTTAGTATTATGCTTCGGCACGAATGGCCCGGCTCGACCGGAGTGATACCACGGCCTCACAGACAACCGACCTGTATTATCCCCCAGCCGTCCCAGTCCCAGTCGTCCCAATCCCCGAATCCTCCACAAAACACAAATTTCCGGTTCCCAAAAGGCCGGTTACGCACTTGTAACGCCGTGATGTTTCAGGTATCTATAGGTGATGCCGATTGCTTACCATCAGGTGATCCTAGTAGTAGACAGTAGGGGACGGATACAGACTGATGATAATCATGACGATTATAAATGTCTCTTCCCATGGCTACTGAAGAACTTTATCAGTGCATTTATAGCAATGTGTAATTATCATTTAACTAATACTCTTAACTCTTTTTGGTTTTGATGCGGTACTTTTCTGAGAGAGGAAAATCAATCAATAAATCCATCAAACACTGTTTACTAGCGCATCTAACAGTATTTGTAAATAAATAGCTATAATCTTCAGCGCACCCACCAACCAGCGTGACCGGTATCAGTACTCCGAGGCTCAGATAGAAGACCATCTCCTAAAAATGGGCGCCCTGCTGACCTACGCGTACACCGAGGTCGACTTCGTGTTCACTAAGTTCATACGGGAGAGCATGCCGCTGTTCAACATCACCGACATCATGTACAGAGTATGAACCATGATACCGTTCGCATTCCAATAAACTAGTTCCTTCAGGAAGATTGCTTGAGTTTCCAACCGGATTCTAATAGCCGTTATAAATATGTATATCAGATTGAATTAGAACGTAATTTTTTTATTTTTTGGTTTTCATTTACATCAGACAACGAAGGCCCATATTAATACAATAATACTATGATATAAAACATAAAATACTATAAATGCAGTGCGTGGTGTCGTGTTACGCTGTTCGGTGTCACGTAGGCGGCCTCGAAAACGTCGGTATATGACACCCTTCGGCCAAAACTCTGCTTCCAGGAGTTTGTCGAGATGTTGAGTCGGAACTCGCACCACAAACGACTTGAAGTTGGTTTTGTGACGCGGTTCCAACCTCTCGACCCTCAAGGTCCAATTGGTCTTCGCCTTCACAAACTCCACGATCTCCTCAACCTTCGTGTATTGGTGTAATTGGGACACATACAGCAGCGTCGTAGGCACAGCTGGACGCAGCAAGTTAGGTCCGGTCAGTCCGGTACCGCGTTGATTGCGTGAAGTAGGCTTCTTCTTTTGAACTTTGATAAAGCCCTCCTCATCACACCCAGGTTTTTCTGGACAGCGCTGTATCGGAATCCTTATTACGGCTTCACAGCGACGGTTCTACTTACCCTCTTTTGGCTGCTTAGATTGTGACGCAGCTGTTTTGTTTGCGGCAGCAATTGCGGCGTAAGCTACTTTGGGGGTCGACATAGTTTCGCGTGACGTGTGCTCTGCACGTGGAGACACACGAGGAGCGTCGGGGCACGGTGCATCGACGTCATTATTTGCAATAAACGATGAATTAAGTTTCGACGATGCAAAACTGCTGACTGAAGCGTTTTGCGCCCCGCGACGTATGTTCACGTTGGCTTCGCCTTGAAACCTACTTTCCGAAACAGCATTGCGTAACATCACTATTTCGGCACGCAGTTCCTGGATGGTAGTGTCAGACGTCTCCAACTTGCTCTGCATCTGGACCAGGCTTGACTTCAAGGATATCACATCCTTTTGCAGCCTGGTTACATCTACGTGGTCGAATGTGATATGTGACTGGCGGCAACTTTTGTAGCTCCTTCGCCACGAATGTCGGCACGTTCGGGTCGGTAGGGTTGGTTGCCTTCAGAAAGGTGATGATGTCTTGAACGCTCTTTTCCGTACCATCTCTCCTCCTCGATGGCATTTGGTCCAGCTTCCCAGTCGTCTGGTAGAGTAGCATCTTGCCTTTGCTGATTTCGTCTTCTTTGAAACTCGACCTACAAATCTGCATATTGCTGATTTCGTCCATGGTGTCGATAGCATTTTGTATAAATGCCAATAGCTCGTTTGCGATAAGTTGTTGTGAACTCATTGCGAAATATCGGGCAGCGACAGCGGCGTAAGCGCCGCGACCTTTACGTACACAAAGCACCGCTAATTAGTTGCAGCGCTACACATCGACACAACTGTCATTTACACAGTGTACATGTGTGCGTAATTTCATATAACTGTATATAAAAATATTCGTCCACCACGTTCACATTGGTATTTTCATTCTTGTGTCGGTATACGTATTTTTATAATTTAATGCATAGGTAAGGTTAAAACTATTTACAATCATTGATATGACCCGACATTTTCACTGTCATTATCGTAGTGCTCGTGGTCGATTGGTTAATGAGCACGCTTTTATCGTCTTTCAAGGATCAATGATGTGGGTTCTATTCCAGCTAAAAGTTAATTTTATTTTACCTTGTTATTTTTCTTATTTTTTTTTTTTGTTTTTTGTCATAAAATATAAATATCAGGCTAAAAGAAGCAAATGAGTTGGTAAATAAAACAATACTATTTTTTATTACAATTAATTTATTTATTATACAAATATGTTGTTTTATATTCAATATTTATATCTAATAATTAATTATATACCACATGTTAAGTTTAAAGTTCTTTAAATCATAATTAATAGATATGACAATAAACCTCATAGTCGAATCGGGAAATATCATGCGGTACAGCGGTAATACTATGGCAGCAACATTTTTTATTAAGTAGGTAATAAACAAATATACAACATTCTTGTTTTGTAATTTAATAATATAATGTATTATTAAATTACAGTTTTACAGTAATAAACAAGTAAAACATGTAAAAAATTACATGTAAAATATTTCTTGAAATGGGCGACTTTTTGTCGTTTGAACTTCCATTAATTATCTATTTTACGACGGTTGTTATAAGGTTCAATATTCAGTGGGCTGTATGATAGTAAAAAGAATGTGACGAATGCTATGGAACGATTTTAACTTTCATGACCTTTAGAATCAGGGAAACTTTAAATTAATTGAAGATGGGCGTAAATATAATATGTCAATCAAGTTCGAAAGCAGTTAAATAAATTTGTTAATGAAAAATTAAAGTGAAGTGAATAAACATGTTGAATAGAAAGAAATTATGACAATTTCTAACCACAAAACAATAACATCACTTCACCGTATGTTCTAGACAGCATTTTAATATTCTTAAAAAAATTAAACATTATTTTATGTTAATTTTAATAAAGGCAGAGTTTGACAGGCTCAATAATTGATTCCGAAATCAATACAATCACTGATCCTACAAGGCAGAAGGTTGCAATTCGTATACCTTTCTCCATCTTTTCTTCACAATATTTTACGCCCATCCTTATCCGACTTGAAAGTCTTTTCGTCGCTCAATATGATTACACTGTTCGCCCAATCAAAATTAATAAAGTCCTTAGCAAATTCTTAGCGCTTTTGCTGGTGAACCACAGATAACAATGTTTTCTTCTCTGGCTTCCTGCACCTTAAACCAGAATGCAGGTGTCTCCGTACAGTTTGTATTAAAACATTCAGTGCTGTCGCTGTAGTGCGGGTTGGCAGGAACGGATCAGCCATGTGCCTGGCTACGATGTCGTAGTGCCGAGCCGATGAATTTGCCTTTGGTTTAGGCCCACGTCGACGATGTTTAACGTCACCGGTCTCCGCATATCTGTGCACCCATAACTGCATGGATCTCCTCTGTTGATACCAAACAAATAAGTATTTAAAATACCAGGAAATACTTTACAGGAATTAAAGTTACTTAAAAATAATAATAAATATAAGTAAACACAATGTTAGAATAATAATTTATAATTAAGTAGTGGCGTAAGGAATAAAAATCCCTAACCAGATATGTTTTAAAGAAACACTCCTAACAAAAACAAGTCAAGTTACAATACAATTAATAATAAATTATTAATATATCTTTATAATATTGAACTTCATAATAAGTTGCAATAATTATTTTATTCTAGTGCAAAAATTGATAGGTGTGTCGAGTTACAAAATGAAATAAATATTATTTAGAATAACAACGTAGTATCTTATTTACTCACCGATATCATTAAACGCCTTGCTATTTCAGTTATTGTTAGTTATGTTTTGCTCATGCAAAACAATGGTTTCAGCCTTTTTAAATGTTGATAGGTGTTGGAACATCTTGTAAAAATAAAAATAACTTTGCACACGAATATAAGTAGTGTAGCAATAAACTATGAAATCCTCATAAATTGACAACTAAGAACGCAATTATTTTGTAAGTCGGGTGATTTGAAAAACATGTTTTAAATAGTCGGTAGTTACTTCATAAGCGTGTAAAATAAAATGACTCGAGATTTCTATGGTCGCCACAAACATTGCAAATATACTCAGGTATCGAACCATTAAGAAATCACAGTTAATTACTTTTTTACTGTTTTTATCTTATTTAAGTTGGTTGATATGCATGAAGCAAATGAGATTATTCTAAATAATAAATAACTAGAACTAAAATATAAATAAAAGATATTATAGGTATAAATAAATCTAAAGTATTTACTATTAAAATTAACATAAGATTTAGAACAATAGGAAAGGAAAAAAAAGAAAAGATTTAATTGTTTCTAATTTCAAATTTCAAATATTTGATAAATTAATTCTAAAACAACATGTGAATGTTGGAATCGATCCGGCGGCACTTTACTTGACAATTGGAGGCGATAACCATTGCGCCAAGCGCGCTGTAGATGAGATCATCGAAATATTTTATATCATTCAGTAACATAAAATTACAATGAGAAAGCACTATATTTATATGGGTATTGTATAGCTCGATCGTTCATTATTTTTGATTTCGATTTATTCAAAGTTTGTTATGAGTAATTTTATCTTTACCCTCGTTTTTATTTAAAATTATTTACTAAATTATTGCGTATACCGACACAAAAATGATTTTTAAATACCAAGATGTGTGTGATAGACGATTGTTTCTATACATATCTATTGATATGAAATTACCCACACATGTATATTGTGTAAATGATAGTTGTGTCGATGTGTAGCGCCGCTAACTAATTAACGGTGCTTTGTGTACAACTGCAACAACACGTCCGTATTCGAGCGCGCTTCGCACTGTAATCGTGAATCGTGACATGTTATGAATATTACCTCACGTACATGAAGGTGCTGAAACAGGCGCAGAGGTTGCTAGGCGTATTTCAAATCATGAAAGCGAGTGAAGAGAGAGCACACCTTCTGTACAAAAGTGCTGCATCAACACTCAGTTGACTTTATCGTCTAGTTCTCAGCCAACTGCTCGACGATCCTGCTCCGGTGCTCGTGGCGAGGCAAGGTACAAAACTGCGAGCACATGTTCGCGACCAGACTGACGGCACTCGGCTTCTGCTGCGTCTTTAACTCGAGATACCAGTGAGAACATAATACATGACACGTACACATAACCATTTTACCAATATTTTGTCGGTACAAATAAGTTGTTTGTCCAACATCCAGAGCCGCAGACTTCGGCCGCCAGCCTTTGGTACTAAACAAGACTGGGAAGGACTTCGGGCTCGGCGTGGTGTTACACGAGGAGCAGAACGACTTCGCTTACATGAGGCGACCTGCGTATGGGATGGAGGTGGGCCACGCTGTTTGATGATTCATTTAGTATCGCTTGGCTTGCACTCGCACTACTTGTTCATAAATTAACTTCTATTCTTTCGTACATGTTACATTGTTATTAGTCAGTTATCAAGTAAATGATCTTCCTATAATACCAGTCTATATTTTACGAGTGTAATTATTTTCAATTTGATAGGTGCTGTTGTTCGAGGGTAGCGAGTTCCCGATCGTGGAGAGCGGTGACGTGCGCGTGTACCCGCTGCCAATCAATGCATCCGTCTACTTCAACATCCAGGCGGTGACGCAGCAGCCCACGGACGAGGTCGGCTCCTACTCCGAGCACAGGGTGAGGCCCACACTGCCGCGGCACTACCCGCGCCTGCCGGGACTCAGGCCGACGGCCACTGTTGCAGCGCGGGTGCCGCCTGGGCCGCGGCGGCACGTCGCAGTGCCTGGCGGACTGCCGGCGCGACACCGCGGAGGCGCTGTGCAAGTGCGTGCCGTACACGCTGCAGCCGCAGTTCGGGCCGCGCGCGGCCGCAACCTGCACGCTCAACGAACTCGGGTGCCTCAACAAACACAGAGGTAAGTACGGAGACCCTGTATCTACATACAGAAATCATGCAAATTGAAACACCAAACTCAAACCCGCTTTTAATTAAGACACCGTTCAAGGCTAAAATTTACCAAATCCACGTTTAAAAATGCACTCCACAAGTCCTTACGTAATGTCAATTAAATTGTACAACAGGCTTCCCACAGTTATAAAAACAGAAGAGAAGTTTAATATATTTAGGTACGAGAAAACTAAAACAATTCTTACTTGATAAAACATATTACTCAGTGGATGAATATCTTGATGATAAACTTCTGAACCAATATTTCAAATAAAACTATTAGTGGGTGGGTATTATAATTACATTTTAACTAGGATAATAATTTAATTTTGACTTTATTTACTGTTTTTAATTTGACTGTTTTTAATTTTAATTTTGATTGTGATATTTTATTTTATTATGATTATACTTTGTATTTAATTTTGATTGTTTAAGATTTAAAAAATGACTCGACTCCTAAATACTACAGTTTCAATTATACCTTTATCTTGTATTCCATTTGATATTAATGTTATTGTATGTTAATTTTATTTTTTTTAATTCAAGTGCGCTCCCTCCAAAACTGATGTCGTTGTGCTCGACAGGGTTCACATTATGTCCTAATTATGTTTACCACCTAAGTAATACATGTGAAAAGCAATAAAGTATTGAGACACTCGTGAGCAACACTAGCTGTCAGTCGCTACTGCCTACTGTGTACAAACAGAGAAGTTCATGTACGTGTACCCCGGCGAGGTCGCGCACGAGTCGCTGCAGCAGGAGCAGCAGGACTCGATGGAGTGTGAGTGCGCGGTGCCCTGCGCCCGCCAGCTCTACCGCGCCACCATCTCCTACTCCTACTACCGCTCTAAGCCGAGAGTCTTCCAAAACTTTCTCACGTAAGTAGTGTTGTTCAGTTATTTACATCATTCTGAAGTCGTATCGCATTATTAACTCGTCGAGTACCGGTTTTATAGACACAATTAAAGAACAATAGGTCGCGGTCACCGGTGACCGCGACCTATGTGGTGTTTGACGGTTTAATTAAACCGAATTATTTTGCAAATATCTCTGCGTCTCTGGGCTCAAATGTCGTAAAGGATATTTGAGCGAAAATGAGTTATACATAAACACCGTTTTATTCAAAATTTATTTCTCAATCGATCTGTATATCAATTCTTAAAGATGTTTATGAGTTATGACCCAAGAAATTTGGTACATTTAGCAAAACTAATTGTGGATAACCCCATTTAGCATAGGCATGCTGTTAGAGCTTCTTTTCTGATTATCTTACATTCACTGTCACACTATTATTGTCATGTTTCTTTATTCTATTTGTGTTGCATCGTGCCTGGTGCTGCACAAATGTTTTATCTTTCTTTCTTCTTCTCATTCTTTCTTTCCAAAGTTGGGACGTAAGCAACGTTTGAAATTTAAACTTGAGACCCTACTAAGGAATAGAGTAGATGACTAATTTTAATGTCCATATGGTACATTATTTAAAAACATTAGACACGTATTTCTTATATTCTTACGGAAACGAAATATCGCGTGACGTCACTTTTGAGTACGATTTATAATCTAAATTAACGTAGCTACCTCCAACTCCTAAACTTTGATTAATTTTATCTAAGAATTGTTTTCTTATATGACAAATTAAAAAATACGTGTTTAATATTTTTTCGTTACTTAACTGAGGGATTTTTAATTTTCATACCCTGTCGTTGTCGTCCCTATTAACATTGATTGAATATTTTAGGGGCGTAAAGGACATTTGATTGTAATTTTGAGGGTGTAAAAGAAAATTATTTCAGTAAAACGGATCTACACCAATTCGGCAATATTTCTTCTAATCTTCTGCAAATCAAAGCACTTTCTTCTCAGGAATCATCTTAATAGCATAACGAATAACATATAGATACAAAGAAGTTATAGTCGAATTAAATTGTAAAAACAGTTTTTCACTTGATGAAATGTCGTATTTTGTTCTTTATGGTATTTGATCCCAGAGGTATTGATCATGTTGTCTCATTTTACAGAAGGAACATGTCGCTACAGAGCACGACATCGCTTCGGCTGTTCTATGGCGTCGACCGACAGCAATGGTACAAGGTGGAGGTGTTTTCTCGTTTGTCTGATGTTTGTGGTAAGATCAGTCATTCTACATGTCGCATAAAATGTAATCGATCTGTTTTATATTGGCATCATGTTTCCTCGTGTTGTCCAGTGAAGCTCAGCTGCCAGTGGATGGCTATCACTGGCATCACGCTGGTGAGTTGCTGGGAGGTGGTGTACCACGCCACGTACCGGTGCGCGCGGCACGTAGCGAGCCGCGTGCGAGCGCCATCTGTACCGCGCCGCCGCATGCACTAGTCGCTGCTCGCTGGGTGGACGGTGGACGGAGCGAAGCGCGCCTACATTGTAACACATTGTAAACTTGACGTTGTAATATAGATGGCGCTGTGGGTCACGTCTCCTTGTAGTGTTGACAGTTATAATAAAAATGAGTTTTAATAAGTGTGAAACTATGTTACTTCACGCATACCACGTTACTTTGTAACTTTTTTGGCTTATCTTTGATTTCTAAATAAAGTATTTGTTTGGGTGTATCTTGTTTCAATATTTTTAGTACATTTTATTCGTGACTGTCCTTTTATTCCACAGACTATTACTTAATTAATGAATTTAAGTGTACGTCATTGATGACGTCACATACGTGCGTCACTTGCGCTTCTCCTACTTGACGTGACGTGGAGTGACGTTCGCTCGTCTGCTGATACCGCGTCGCGGCTAGTGCGCGGTGTTCGACCGCTATAATGAGTGTTGTTTAACACGATCTTGAGTTTGATTCCCGGATCGAGTTGATGAGAGATGTATCACAAAAGGCTTTTGCACTGTTATATAGGATGGGACTCGGGACTCATTACACAACTGATGTCTATCCCTTTTGGTAATAAAAGACATGGTGGTTGGTGGTATTTATGTATGTTGCGATGTTTAGTAAGTGAACTTGAGGACCGTGTCGCTTGTCCCGACTGCAATAGTCACAACTAGGTGTGTGCATGGCGTGTCAGCGCGGTATCAGCCGCCATACATCAGTTGATCAGCGGTCAGATACAAGTCATACAGTACACGAACACTACGCTAGAACACGGTACATGCGTGGGCGGCACGATAACATGGCACGCGCGGCGTCACTGCGCCGATACTGTGATACTGATGTAGTAATGTACGTAGCCAGCCACCTGTGGGTTCTGCTGACACTCAGCTCGGCTATACTGACGTCTCGAATAATAATTGAGCCTAAAACTACTCATCACAAACTTCTTCTTTTTTCTTTGTTGTAAAATTAGAGCTAATAGATTAAAGGCTAGGTGTGAAGGGTAGAGCCAACTACATGGTAATAGCTTATTGAAAGCTTAGTATGTGATGTCATTTTGGCAACATTTTACATTCATTAATATTTGATTATAACTTGCTAACTCATAACAAAGTTCAACTCTATTATATATTATATTTACCTCGAGGTTAAGTACATAATAAATATTTTGAAGACCTTTTAACAGCGAATGATTGAATTTAATCTCGCCACCTACAGATTTTTCAATGACGTCCAATATGACCGTGTTCCGCGTGCATCATACATCCGAGCTAACAATCATTTACATATTACTGGAGACCTTGGAAGAGACGACCTGACCTCCAGCTAGCCGGCCCGCGGCCGAGCGCCTCCGAGCGGCGCCGAGCGGGCCCGAGCGGCGCCGAGTGCCGGTGCAGTTGTGCACATCTCATCCAGGTCAAGCTCATCTCTGACATTCTGCTCAACTAACACGTGTTAACAAACAATTACTGAATCATTCGTGTCTGCTAATATTTGCATCTCTGTAATTACACAAAACTGCGGTTGCTTCACGGTTGGAAAGATATAATTAGTACGTCGACTGTATTCATAGGCAGCATTAAGTGGAGGATACAGGCTGAACGGGAAGTAAACGGCCCGGCGCAGTGACACGGCATCTTTATACTCAAAGACGAATTAATTAGCGGAGCTGTTTGTACCTACATACACACGGCGCCGTCGCCGCGCAGGTATCTAGCCATGTATATTGTATCACCGTGCAGCTTGTGTGAGTGCACAGTGACTGCCGACGCCCAACAACAAAACAACAAATCCACGGTGACACTGCGGCTGACAGGCAGAGTAGAACTACGCCTGACGCAATGCACACAAAGTAAATAATGGCACAGCCGTTAACTTGTTAACAAACGCTAAAATAATGAATCGACAAAATATTGACCTTGTCTGATCACATAACTCAGTCACCGCCAATGTTAATGTTATTCAAAACATTGCTTGTATTCTATATTCAATAGACAGCAACTTTTGGAAACCTGACTGACCACGGCGAGTACATCACCTCACAGACACTGACACGTGAGTACCTGGACATGCTCGTGTCATCTGTCGTCAGGCACTCGTGCTCCTGGAACACGCTGGTGCTGTCACTCAGCTCGTGTCCTGCACTAGTAGTGCTAGCGCTGTCTGCCATGATGTCACCCGATGTTACTGGTCCCACTTGTTAGGGGCTATAAGAGCCCTGTGTATGTACAATATTAATTATATACTGACTTTCTGTGCAGTGCAGCACGGTCTACAAAAACTGCATCCGTTGCAACGTACCAAAATTTGAAGCGCATAATATAAAGGTAAATATGAGGCGTGACGTCATGGTATATTTCCACTTATTGTTTCACTTTCATCTAAAAACAAAAGTTAGTTTCTAAGTCAGTATGGGCCATACAAAGTTGTCATCATTTATTATTAATTTTACAAGAAGTATATCTGTCTCTGTATCTGATACATATGTATATGTATTAATACCATACGTAAAAGATGGACTGTATTTGATGCGACTTATCCAGATATAGTCTGCCTCGTTGGCTGAGTGCTCGCAAGTGCGACTGCCGGGCAAGGGATCTCGGGTTCAAAGTCAAAGTCAAAGCATTTATTTCAATTAAACCATAGTTTGGTGCTTTTGAAACGTCAACAAATACAAAATAAATAATAGTCTGTCAGTCAGTCCGTCAGTGAAACTAGGTGAAGCTAGGTGCTCATTCCAAAAAGTAGATTCGAATGGAGAAGAACGAGCAAGAAACTCCATTCGTTACTCTTTTTAAAAAAAAGTATGTTCTACAATGTCTCTGATACATATTTCAATACTGTACGCATATGTAAGAACAATGCAAAGACATACTTGACGAATTACACTAATAACTTACTAAAATTAAAAAAAATATAAAAATCTGGAAGTCCAACATGGTGCTCACATATGCATACTGTTCGATTCCCGGGTCGGGTAAAGTATTACTGGGATTTAAAAAAAATCTCAGTAGTAGCACGGAGTCTGGAATTGGGCCCGGTATATGTCAATAGGCTCACCCCCTATTACATGGGACTCATAACATAAATAGTGAAAAGTGGGTGTTACATTGTACAGTGGCATAATGTGCACCTCTGCCTACCCCTTCGGGCATAAAAGGCGTGATGTTATGTTATGTTATGTTATGTTGTTATCCAGATATTACATGGTTCGGACCCTACGTCGCTGAGCACAAAGAGGATAAGACAATAATTTTATAAGCTTTAAAATAATTTACAAGCAAGTAATAAGTAGTCGTAGTAGTTATTAATAAAATATATTATGATTATGTGAGACGCCTAACTCAGTTCTGTTTGTCTGTTCCGTCTTTGTTTGTTATTGTGTATCAATTTAATTTCATAGGTACATCATAACTTTCATTTCCTCCTGTGTCATAATGTGTGCTGTTACAAAAAAAATCACATTCCCATTCTGGACCCGCGTGCCGGGACAACAATATGTGAATCACACAATTGGAATGGAACCTGCGCCTGCGCCACGTTACACAGCGTTACAAACGTGCGGTCATGTAGTCGAGGTCGAGGTTGTCTTGTTAACATTCGGGAACTACAACGTGTCTTCTATAATGTACCACATGTAACATGCCTACAACATGTAAGTTCCTGATAAATTGCTACAGCTTAAGTACGTCGTGTCTGTCTGTGTCGACCTATCGATGACGTATAGCTGTGTACCAACAACACACACACACACACAACTGTGTGCATCTTTCACCGCTCCACGTCGCGCGCCCACACACACACAAACAGCTGCATTACCATAAATTAAAATAAATTCACTTGTTGCAAATATTTATTTACCTTGACTAAGAACATTATCTCCGGATGCCGCTAGTACTTACGTGCTTTTACTTACATACCTACATTATTATACAATCCCGAATCTTAGTCTTAGTCCTACAGTAACTATGTAATTCTGCTTCTATGTAATTAAGAAGGACACCTGAATAATGTATGCTATAATTTTCTTAAAAACCCTGTAATAATCTTACTGAATCAACAGTCTCCAGCTAGCCAGACGTGTGGAGAGGTCAGGCGACCATTGCGTCATCATGCTCGCGAACACAAACTAATAACCATGTCTAGAACCAACAAATCTGATTGTATGAACAGAGTGCTACCATAGAAAACGGCTATATTTTTTGAAATGGTACAAAGCAAAATTAAAAGCGAGCAGCAAAATGGTTTAGTTACTCAGTAAGATGACAAAGTATGCTAGTTAGGCCGGTTGTCTGTCTAGAGTGACGGGGTCGTTGGGCACGTCGTCCCCGCCGCCGCCCGCCGGCTCGCAGCTCCCGGGCGCCGGCACCGGCTCGCCTATGATACCAGGGATTACCTATCAAAACAAAAACATCTATGAAACTATATAGACGCGTCCACCGCAGTACGTCCATCCACAAAGTGGACCGACGGATTGATACAGGGAAGGGGGGAAGGGCACCGCTGGATGCCGGCGCCGGACGCTTTCAACTGACTTATCTGGTAAACCATAGAATGTGAATCAATCTGTGATCAGAGAACGTCTTGAGCCTGCCATTTATGATAATAATATAATATAGAGCTACTTTTGAAACGACTACACATATTTTTTTCTTAAGACGTCTAGACGGCCTATGAATGAAACTAGCAGATAATTTCAAAGCATATTGAATCGTATGGAGACGACAAATACCTAACGTGCAAAGCAGTTGTCTGAATATCCCAGACTCACGGTACAATTATAGAACATTCATTATTTCACCAAACTGAAAATATTTCCTGTTCCTAGTTGCATCTTGCATCCTTGTACAACACTAGTCGACAAGTACTTCTTTGTCTGTGTTACGTATGATGTTAGAGCAAGTATATAATTATACATACTACGATACCTGAACACGGATTTGAAACTTCAGTCGCAGTAATATCTAGACCTTGTAATGTGACGATATTCGCC